AGACTTGATTGTTTATGACTGACAATAGCCCTCCTCTGAAACTGCTGCAGTCATTGCCCTCATTTATGTACTGGACACTACAGTTTGTTTTGCGTATTGCCATCTTGTTTTACTATTCAAATGAAGGTATTTTTACATGATTTTTTCCCTTAATTAGGTTGGCGTGTACTTATATTTATGTATTTGATGATACAGACAAAATCTGAAAGTAGTGAGTTTTGAAAATGGCGTGGTCTTGAGCATTTATACTGCTAGTGCCATTGTTTAGACTGTTATAGGATGCTTTCCCACTTACAGCTCAGTTAATATGGTTTGTGTGGTCCAGACAAAAAAAAAAAGAGCTGGTTCACTTCAAATCAATCGTAGATGAATTAAATGTATATTTAGGTTATATAAGGACTCCACTGAAGACATCCATTAGCCTACATATTTAATTTCTTGTGTTAAACGTAAAGATTTATTTCAAAACTATTTCTAAATTCAGTTCTAATTTCCAGCAAACGAATAAATGAACAATAATAATGAAATGTGGTAAAAAAACTGAGGTATATCCAAACACACGTCCTATTCTTATTCCCCATATGCTCCAAAACAGGTGGATAAATCCAAGCTTGTTTTTAATAAAACAAATATAAATAAGCAGATAATCAGTAATACTGCAAGTAATAATAACATTATACAAGTGCAAAGTGTCAAGAATAAATTGATAATAGCCCTCCGACATGAAGGTGATGGAGGTGGAGGTGATGGTTTTTATATCCCTGTAGAAAATAATAATTTTTGTAACAATTTTAATCCTTTAAGTATTTTTCATTCATTAAGGTATTTGCTTATTGCTGTACATCCTGTTTGTATTAAGCAATGTGTAAGTGTTTAAGGTGCACAGATAACGTGCTCTGCGTTGGACTTTAGACCAGCCTTCAGTTGGTCAATTGTGCAGTTCATTTTAGTTTCTCAAAATAGCAACGTGCCAACAATGCACCTTAACACACCTTCTTTATAGACCAGAACACCCATGAATCTACAAAGTGGTGCAAATGGATTTGCTATTTAAACAACACGGTGCAAAACAGTAAAATTTGGGGTGTGCTGGTCTGAAAATAGCAACAAATCGCGCCAAACATGTCATGCATGCTAGGTGTATGATAGGGCCCTTAATGTCCTGTTTTGGGGTTGTTTAGATGTTTTGATCAATATTTCAATCATATTAAAAGTTCATTTATTCACCCTTCATGTGTTTTAATCCTATTAGAGTTTCTTTCTTCTACTAAACATATAAAAAACTGATATTTTAAAGAATGCTGCTAGCTGGCAGGTATTGACTTCAATAGTCATTTTTTTTTCTTACTATGGAAGTTGATGTTTTCCAATAAACAGCATTCTTAAAACAGTATTGTTTTGTGTTCATCAGAAGAAAGAAACCCATAAATGTTTAAAACCAGGTGATAAATGTTGAGGGGATTTTTATTTTGAGTGAACTATCCCTTAACTATCCCTGAGTAAACTAAGTAAAACTGCACCAGTTAGTTCCAAATTGGACCCCTTTTTTTCAGTGTTCCCGCTTCACTTGTTTTGTTCCATGCTCCTCAAAGTAAATATGGCAGAGTTTACGCATATCCAAAATGAACTACAATAACTAAACAATTGAACCTATCCTTCCTAATGAGATCTCACCCTCATTTTATCCCTCATAAACTCATTTTCATCTCTGGTAAATTCAGTATGGTGTTTAACCAGAATAGCATGGACTTTCAGTGTCCAACATCTTTTCACTTTTGTACTGCAAAGTTTGCACTGGTAGTCTCTGCTGAGGTCAGTGCAGAGCCTGCTCCGCAATAACTTTCCATGCTTGTAAAAATTCCTCTGTTATTAGACTATAAGCCCTCGAGAGCCCAGGCCTTTCACATTTATTGTAGTGTTAAACAAATGGTATTGCATAAACACTGTCCTTCCTCTTTGTCCAGTGGGTTTTGAGCTTACAGCATTTCGAGGATAGTTGGGTGCTTGCCTTGACCTCAAGAACACTGCATGAAAATAGCAAAGCTGTGTGTTTGTGGAACTTTAGTTAATGTTTTGATTTTAATGACAGCACTTTTTCTATAGTATCATTGTATATTTTCTGTTTTTAAAGTATAACTTATTTTTATAGTATTTTTTATAATTTGTGCAGTTTATAGTTTTTTATAATAAAGGAATGTTAAACGTTTTTTTTGCATTGCTGTGTGATTTCTTTTGTCAGCTTCAGGAAATGAGGGGCAGTGGGCTGAATACACACTGTAAATGAGAGCTGATCAAGAAACATAGACAAAGAGAGAGAAAGAAATCAAGAGAGGCGGATGAATTGCTGCCAAGTTTTGTGGCAATTATAACACAGCAGACCCCTTTGTTGATTTATGCTCAACGAGGGCAGGAAAAAGACTGACAGGAAAAGATAGACGGGTTTAAAAAACTTTATGAGAAAGGAATGTTAATGTTAAAAAAATCAGACTTCAGCACTGCCACAATTGTTCAGCTCAATCTTAATTGAGAAAAGAGAATTGCTACTAATTGCAGAAGCAAGGCAGGAAAAATGTCAGAGGGCAGCAGAGGAGATCTTGCTAGAGAGTGTGGGTGTTTGAGCCTGAATGTAAACCTAGTCATCTGAAACATGCCTTTGCTTGTCAAAGAAAGAATGAATGAAAGGAAAAACACAAGCAAATATAGGGTGCAAGCTAACATAAGAAACACATTCAGACATTTGTAAAATAAATCTCGCTACTGTCATAGAATACAAGAGTTTTGATGAGTAAGTTCTGGTTTAAATGTTACGTTTCCCATCTGGAATTTAAAACTGGTTAGTAACTAATGGGGATTAAAATAGTGTAATTGTGTCATTTTAAGAAACACTTTAAACTTAAAAAAATATCAATAAAATGTTGAAATATTTGAATATGAATTTTGGCACAGTTTTCCCCATATTGTGTTGATATGGTAAGTAACCCAGCCCTAAGGCAGCACACTTTAAAGGGGTGGTCCTCTATGATATCATATTTTAAACTTTAGTTGATGTGTAATGTAGCTGTGTCAACAAATAACATCTCTGAATCTCTTTACAGAGTTAGCTTTGTTTTCTTTGGACTACAAAAAATACATTCAGGATAGTAAGATCGCAAACATTTCAGACGCAATTATCACAGGAATACCACACGCAATGAAGGGTCATGGCCAGAGGCTGTTATAGTAGAGAAAGCTTCCTTTGTTTTGGGGCTTCCAAAGGACACGACACACAAAAAAAGAAGTGCTTACAGTTTAATTTTAATTATGCTCCTGGAAATTATAAAAAAATACATAGCTAGCATTTGACAAAGGACATCTTCCAAAATCTCTCCCAATTCAGTGCCCGATTCAGCTAAAATCTCCTTAAAGAAGGAGCAGCTCCAACTATAATAGCAGAAGCTGTAGATCGTCAGCCACAATCTGTATTTTCATATGTTAAAATTGATTTATTACATGCATAGTTTCTAGCATTTAGAGTATGTTGTAGTGAGGACATAAACAACAGGAAATGCTGTTTGGCACTGCTAACAATCTAGCTACAAATTTATATTTATGAGTCAAACCTCTGTAAACACCCACAATCAACAGCAGCACATGCAGTGTCTCTATGCAGCCGCTTTCCCTGCGTTCTACATCTCAACTAATGAAATTGCAAAAAATATTGAACATTTTATATTACTTACCCTATGTTTTGAATGTATGTGCTCTTCATTTTCTGTCTCAAGGTACAAACAGCTACTGTTTACACAGCGCAAAAGCCCGTGCTTGTAGGGACGTGATGTGGAGACGATCCGTGAATCACAGCACATTATGTTAACTGGCCAATCAGAGCCTCTTGAGGACAGGCCTCTTGAAGGAACTAGGAAATATGACTGTCATTTTCAGGTTAGCTGAGTAGCTGTATATAATCTGTATATAAGATATATGAAAAAAATAACTTGATTTTCTACAAATGAAGCATGCCCATCATATAAACACAACAAAGACTTAAAATACACTGTGGACCACCCCTTTAAAGATCACCTTTATAGGCTACAATATTTATGGTTGATAGATGCATTTTAGTAGTAGCTTAATGACTAATTAAGTTTCAAAGTAATACTGTGGTTAAAAGTAATACTTAAGCTGACCTCTGATAATGATATAAGGAGATTTTGTATAATTAAAAGGAAAACTAATTAGTTAAGTTTTGGCCTGCTTATATATTCATAGAACAAACAAAGCCCTAAAAAATATGAAGGTGAGTTAATTAAATTTAAAAGATTGTGCTTGCTTTGATGAAACAGCTGACTGTTTAGGCGCCATTTGTGTTTAGGCCCGAGTTTTTGTTGTGTTTGCACCGTTTTACCAGCAGATGTCATCAGCATGCGGTTTTGAGAAACTAAATACAAAACTTCAGAAAAGCTTAGTTTTCGCCATTAATACCAGATTTGAAATCGATCTTATCAAGTAGTTCAAGCAAGCCTAAAGTTATTTTTGTAATATGGTTAGTCTAGTTGCAGCTTTCCCCTTCGTTCAACCACGTGCACGTTGTGTAGAGTTCTACGATTGGACTTAATGTCAAGTATCTCTCACTGAAGCTGGAGGTAAAGGTAAGTGTAATATGTAGTTCCCTGTTATCTGTAGATCTCAGTGTTGTCTGTCAGTCTTGCAACGGAAAAAGTTCAAGTTTTAACTCTCGTTAGCTTTTTGTTTTGTCATAATCTCTACCTGACCAGATTTTTTTAGCCTTTAAGCTGAAAACCAATTGTTGCCTAAATTGGTCTAGGTAACTAGCATTACATTTCATGTTATATATCATAATATTGACTGTTTCTTTTTCTTTTTTTTTTAAAATCACACTTAACATGGTATACAATGCAATAATGTAGTCAGAAATGACAGATAAGTGTAAGTACATCATCTAAATGTTTAAACATTTACTCCAATCTACTTACACTTGTTAAAACACAAACTGCATGCTCAAATTTCATAAATATTTATTTCATATCAACAATAATAACTACAGCAGTGGGCTACAGCACTTTCAAATAAATGCTATAATAATAATAATAGTAGTAGTAGATTTTGAGGCCACATCTGAAACACAAACATTTACAAGTAGTACTTGGCGTTAAAAACAATGGCAATACAATATTTTAAGACACTTGGTGTTTTTTTTATTTGTTTTTGTTTAATTTCTGATATCACAGACTTTCTGCAACAGTCTAAACAGTTAATATTGATATAGATACAAAACCACTGCAAAAAACAATCAGGAGAGTAAACAGAGGGATGGGGAAGACAACAACAGACAGTATGCCAACAGAAAAAATATATTCCATCAATCTCTTGCACATCTATTCTCATCAAAAAACAAATGGCAAATAAATAATATTGAAAACTTTTAATTTACAAAAATATTCCCAAGTTTTCCCTTTTTAGTCCAGACTGCTACTAGTGTTGAGTGAGTTACACTGAGATGAAGAAAGGTTTAGCGTGAAGCGACATGCAATCAGCGAAGCGCTTTAATACTTACACCTCCTCTTGTGCTGTTCCTGAGGCTCTTGTGTTCTGGTGTCACTTTGATGACAGTTTTTAACATCTCTGAGTTTGAACTGTAAACATCTATATTCTTCTTCTCATTTTACACTGCAAACTGTTTTTAACCCCCAAAGGTTTTGTATTGTTTTCCATGTAAAAAACACTGTTTTAGCATAACATCTGTTTTTTTTTTCCTGAAATTATATGTTTGGGAAATAATGTATATATTATAGATTAGGTAAATAGATAGTTTTAAAGGAACTCTTTTTTAAAAGAAATAATTGTACAATTGTACAATTTTTAAATCCATTCAGCCAATCTCCGGGTCTGCTAAGTAGGGTCTGTCTGCGGACTGCAAGACAGGGGCATAACATCAAGGGGCCTTAGGGGCGTAACTTTTAGTACGTTAGAGGCGTAACATGAAGTTATGGAGCCATGTCAACTATCGGATATGCGCAATATGCACATTTATATAGCAGCATTTTTTCATGACACTGTATAACAATAATTAATATTTTTACAGTACTGTGACGGTTAGGTTTAGGGTTGGGGTGGGAGTAGGCATTAAAAAATACAATTTATTGGGTAATTTAGTAATTTTTTCCGGCCGCAAATGTATCCAATCTAGCAACAACCGTACATAGTTATTAAAGCCAAGACCCAATACAACTTCTGTTTTTACCTTACTGTGACGGCTGGGTTTAGGGTTGGGGTGGGGGTAGACGTTAATAAAATACAATAAATGGGAAATTTAATAAATAATAGAAATAATTCTCATTTACTTCCGGCCGCAAACATATCTAATCTAGCAACAACCATACATAGTTATTAAAGCCACCACCCACTCCACACCTAAACCTAACCATCTAGACCTACCACAACCCTAAACCCAACCATCATCATTATTAACGTCTACACCTTCCCTAAACCTTAACCCAACCATCACAGTTTTTAGCATGCAGCAGCTTTTTATACTTGACACGCTTGTCATTCTGTTGTTTGCAACCACAGGGGGCGACCCCGAGTAGGCTAATTGTCATGACAAAACGAATGCAGAAATAACTGAGTGGAGTTGCTAAATGAATTAATATTATAATATATCAAAGGAATTTGTTGTGGATATATTTGGAGAAAACTCACGAAAATATTTGTTGAAAATGTACTCTGGTAAGTATGTCCACCATCTAGCCAACAACATCTCGTTGTGACATCTTTCATGGTTCTATGGGATCTCGATAACTGCAAGTTACGCCTCTAACTTACCACAAATTACGCCCCTACATCTTGTGCCCCCGTCTTGCAGTCTGCAGACAGATATACTTGGGTCTGCTGGGAGCACTTTTAACTTGGCTTAGCACAGATCATTGAATCAGATGGAACCATTAGCATCACACTCAAAACAATCAGTAGAGTTTTGATAATTTTCCTATTTAAAGATTGACTCCTCTGTGGTTACATCATGTACTAAGACTAAAATTGTAATAAAAGTCACTATTATCTAGGCTGATATGGCTAGGAACTATACAGTCATTCTGGCGTAATAATCAAGGAACTTTGCTGCTGTTGCATGGCTGCAGCTGGCTCAATATTATGCAGCACCTGAAAAGAATCCCCAGCTAGATAACTACAGTAGGTAACAGTGCTGCATGTGACCTTATCTGCCATTAAATAAGAAATTTATCAAAACTTTTTTTTAAGCGAGATGCTAAACTCTAGTCTGATTTAATGATCTATGATAAGCTAAGCTAAAAATGCTCCTGTCAAACCCAGAGATCGGCTGAATGGATTAAAAAATGCTAAAACTCAACTGTTTACTTTTAATATTCCATGAAACTTTTAGTGTTTCTTTAAGCAAAATAGGTTTAATGAGGTTTTCAAAAAAGTATTAATTTCTCAAATGTATTTATCTTGATTTTAAGTTCTATGAGAAAACAAGACAAAGACACTGATAAAGAGTTTTTTTGCTGTGTAATCTAGAGTGAGAGATCTAATCTAAGTGACCCTGACTTAAAACCTTAAAGAATTCTGTTAGTTTGTACCAAATCTATGAGAAGATACTGCTTTCTAATTCTAAACCATTAATATATCAAATCCCTTTTATTTTGTTGTGGGATGGAGGGGAGGCATGCAGGTGATCCAGAGCCCTTTTCAAGGAGCAACAGCACTTTAAGAATGTGTGCCCGTGAATGTGGATGTTGATGGATTAAAGCTTATACTGTACGCATAGTAAACAGCAGCAGATGCGGTGAAAAACAAAACAAAACATGTTCTGTAATGGATTTAGTTGACGTCTGCCTCATGACATATGCAATCCATGGTCTGTCTGATAGGGGGCGATCTACTGGTTGATGGGTGCAGTAGAAAATGGCACTTGTGGGAGACTCCTGCCTTTCTGCCAAAAGTTTGCATGTCAGGGTTAAAAAGCGTGGTGAGAGTGAAGGCAGGTTACACCGTAACATTGATATACACAAGAAGTGAGTTTTATTTCTTCATAATACAGTAGAACTAGAAAGGTGTATGTATATATATTTATATATATATTTGTATGTTTACATTTGTATGTTCATGTGCACCTGGTTCGAGATGCATATAGAGTTTTTTACAACTTTGAAATAATCACACAATGTACAAATCACAAACATAGAAAACATTTAAAAACACAAAATAAGGAATTAAAAAATGTAACGAGCGTCGATTTTACATTCAGGTCTTGAAGAGAAAAGTAATATTTTGCCTTGACCTTAAAACTTGGCTCAAACCATTTAAAGCCAGTTTATTGTTTAAATGTCCTATTTCTGTTCATATGGCTACAAGTTTGCTACAAAGCTACAAATTTGTCTTAAAGCGGAAGGAGAATGTGTCTAATCCATAATAGAAACGAAATCAAACAGAATTCAGATTCTTCGGCATTTTCAGCATTTTTGGTCAGTTTTGTTTTTACTCTAAGCAGAATTCTGAAATGGTCGCTAATAATTAGTTGTATTTCTATCTTTCCAATAAACAGGATCATACGCACACACACATGCATCCATCCACCAGGAGTGAATTTTGACATCGCCACACTGTAAACTCTGGGGACTGATTTGCACACAGATGAGTGGACAGACTGCGGGAGAAGGACGTAACACAATGAGAAGAGTGATATAAAGTAAAAGGTAGGAAGATGAATAAGGTGAGAGGCGCATTTTAATCCACAGACTGTGATTGTCATCACTTAAGGTCCAAAATATCATCCTCAAACGATGTGGAGAAGGTGAAAGGGTTGGCTGTGGGTGGACTGTCATCTCGCACCTCCACCTCTGAGCCAGATGGACAGAGCTGCTGGATGTCAGTTTCTCCATCTACAGACTCCATGCCCACTCTGATTGGAGAAAATTTCTTATAGTCAGTACACATCATGCTGGATTTGCTTCTATCATGCAGACATAAGCTATGCATATACAATACATAAGCAACATACCTGTACAGTCTATCAAATACACATAAAGTATAGACATTAAAAAAGCAAGCCATTGGTCAATATTTGAAATTTCTGTCCAGTGTTGTCATGTTTTGATCCTTGAAAGGTCTTATGCAGTCATGTGATGTGCTTGATATTTGCAATGCAGCGAACTGCAAAACTTGGCAGGCGTATGAATGGAAGTCTATGGGTCAAAAAGTGCAATGACCGTGGCTTGAGAAGGACTCCTATGCCAGTTGCTTAATATTTACACCAAAAAGTGATCACTTGGTTTCAATATATACACAAGAATTGATTTTGTTTATAGTTTTATGTTTACATATTTATTTTTTCATATTGAAATTTAATTTTATTTAGTTAGTTACTTGGAATGTACAGTTGAAGTCAGAATTATTAGTACCCTTTTGAATTTTGTTTTCTTTTTTTTTATATATATATTTCCCAAATGATGTTTAGCAGAGCAGGGAAGTTTTCACAGTATGTCTGATAATATTTTTTCTTCTGGAGAAGGTCTTATTTGTTTTATTTTGGTTAGAATAAAAGTAGTTTTTAAAAAAAAAAACACATTTTAGGGTCAAAATTATTAGCCCCTTTAAGCTATGTATTTTTTGATATTCTACAGAACAAACTGTCATTATACAATAACTTGCCTAATTACCCTATCCTGCCTAGTTAGCCTAATTAACCTAGTTAAGCCTGTAAATGTCACTTTAAGCTGTATAGAAGTGTCTTAAAACATCTAGTCAGATATTATTTACTGTCATCATAGCAAAGATAAAATAAATCCGTTATTAGAAATGAGTTATTAAAACTTATGTTTAGAAATGTCTTTAAAAAATCTTTTCTGTTAAAAAGAAATCGGAGAAAAAAAAACATCATATCTGTAAGATGTTACTTGAGAAATGTTTAAAATCATAAGGTCTGTCCACATAAAACAGTGGAATTTGTTGTTCATTTAAACACACACACACACACACACACACACACACACACACACACACACACACACACACACACACACACACACACACACACACACACACACACACACACACACACACACACACACACACACACACACACACACACAGCAAGACTTACTGCTCGGCGATGCTGATCTCTGCTGTTCTCTTCTGCTCTTCCTCTTTGTTTTTCTTGCTCATTCTTCTCTGTTTCACTGAGTTGCCATCTGCTTTACTGCTGGGCTCCTCAGTCAAACCTACAGCAGATACAGAGTGCACAGACTACTTAGACACTCAACATATCATGATTCTGTATAGAAAATGCTTTAACAGATATTTTAAAATGACATTTAACATGCACCTGTAGGAGGTGCTGTAGTGTTTTCCAAGAGTCATTCAGCCATTTGCGTGTGTGTGTGTTTGTGGGGTGTGAAGTGTGGCAGTCTAGTAAATCTAGCAGCTTATCTAATGTGTGATCAGGATGTCTCACTCCAACACTTCATATTGAAAAATCTGTGCTAGACTACAGAACAAGAGTTACAGATCAAGTGTTCAAAGCATTATATCATTTCTATCACACACGATTAAAAGATTATTAATAAATGGTTCTGAGTTGGGGGTGTTTTTCGTTTGAGGGCAAAAAAAGTTCAAAAAGGTTGAGTGATGGTAAACATGACAAGGTGGGCTTCTCATCCAGCGTGACCCCATCTGAATATTTAAAATCTTTCTGCCAACGATTGGTAAGGTGTGAATACAGCTCTGCTACTCGACTTTAGTGTATTCCTATGACTGATGTTGCTGTTTAGAGTGTTGTTCTTCTGTCTGAGCTCCTTAAAATGAGAAATAAATCAGGAAAGAAATCTGGAGTTTTTGAACAGACCCACTGATTATGTAAACCTATCAGTGAAACCAGAACAATGATCACTCAAAGGTGTTTATTAGTCAGAATTACCTTTGGGTTGTCTTATATTTAACATTGATCATTAACCCTAGGCGTACATTCTAACTCAGAGGCCTGTTGCACAAAACAAGTTGATTAAACTCTGGATTGCAGAGTATTTTTGGGTTGACAAAACTAAACAATTCCAATCTGGTTAAGATCAGGGGTCCTTTTTTCATATCTCACTTAAATGATCCAAGATGATTTGGCGGGTCCTGGATCTTCTAATCTTGATAAATGACCTTTGGCTAATTTGGTTCTGCAAACAAGTTTTCAAATCAGTTTTAAGATGTATGGATGAACTGGGGTCCGTTCTTCGTACCTCGCTTAAATGATCTAAGATGATTTGGCATATCCTGGATCTGTTCATCTTGATAACTGATCTTTTGCTAATTTGGTTGTTCAAACAAGTTCACGAATCAGATTAAAATGTTTGGATTAACTGATCTGAGATCGCTGTGTGTGTTGTAAAAGACAGATCTATGGATCCTCAAAATCATGATCAGCAATGCAACGATTGGCTGATGACACAGCAGCGTAATGACATCTTCTGATTAATATTCAATTATCCATGTGAGCAAAATTACATCAAATTAGCAGTAAATGGTTTGTTAAATATGACACGCACAAACTTCCCACGTTTGTTGTGAGCTGCAGGCTTTACACTTTCATGTGTCAAGACTATTTATCATGTATTTCAATGCATATCAATGTATTTAGTTCTACATTTAGACAAGACTCTCTTTATTATAGAAGTCTAGGCTTACTCAAGTTTTTTTAATCCGCTTAAGGAATAACTGTATGAATTAATTTTGCATCAAAAAAGCATTTTGATATTGGTAAAGGTATCAATCACTGGCATACTAATAATCAAAACACATGCTTGACTGCATAAATTATCTTCCTTTTTTTATTTAAAAAAGTCGAATATTGAGCATGTACGTGTTTGCATCTAAAAAGTTTATATCAATAAATTTTCTCTTTGAACCACCAGATACTATACACCAGAAACATCTAGATAATATTGCAGCAAACAACAATTAAATGAATTTTATTAATTTCTTGTGAGAGAGTCAGTGCAGTTCATTTCACTGAGTGCAGTATATTGGGGTTTTCCATTTCTAAGAAAATAATTTCTGCACAAAACAACTTGATTATTCCTCTATCTAAATCAGAGGTTCTCAAAGTGGGGGTCGGGACCCCCTGGGGCGTCACGTGACAATGACAAGGGGTCGCTTGGTGATTTCCAAAACTCAAATAAATTTTATTAAACTATTTGAATCACCATATTTTATTCATAACCCACAGAGGATAGTTAATTGTTGCGTTAAAGAACAACATACAAATAAAAATCAGCTATCAGCCATTAATTTTTATCTTAAAATGTAATTAAATTAATAGATGAATATAAAAAAAACATTATATGGTTATTAGACTGATTCATTTTTGTGTTGTCAATATGATTATATTTATATATGCCTATAGTTGTGTCTGAAACATTTATATATTTACAGTATAACCACCTTGAAAAATGGGGGTCGTGAGTCACTGAGATTGTTGTTTTGGGGGTCGCAGGCTAAAAAGTTGGGGAACCCCTGATCTAAATCATAGATTTTTAAGCTGTTTTGTGTATTTTATAAAATATATGTTTCTAATAATAAGCAAATAAAGAACAGTTGGGGTGCGAGTCAATGAAATATTGTCAATGTTTACTAGGGCTTATTTTATTTATTGACTTAACCCCATTATAAAGCCCTTTAGCAAAAAGGGGATTTCCATCCATGATTCTCAGATTTTGATACAATATTTTCAAGACCATTTTTTTCTGTGGATTGAATTGCTCTGATAAATCATTCACTTTAATACTAGTAATATGGTCATGCAGTTTTATTTCATGACTACTTTAAAACAATTATAATCCATCATGAAAATCCTTTAGGAAATTAAATGTCCAACCCCAAAAAACAAATCTCCAGCAGCACTTGTGAAGTTGTAGATTTCCTCTGCGGTCCATTTCTTGCCAGCATCCCACTGCGCCACACACTCATAAATGATAGCATTCAGTTGAAGAGTGCACAAACACAGACACTCACCCAGCAGCTCTTTTCGTGTGCGGCTGGCAATTTCTTTGATCTCCATGCGAGACAGCGAGAGGGAGGTGGTGCTGCCGATCATGGGCGCAGGCCCGGTCATGCTGGGGGCCGGTGCCGTGAGCACTTTATTGACCAGAGGAGACTTGAGGGGCCTTTCTATGCTCCTTCCAACTAGGTTACTCAGAGGGATCTTATAGATGTGTTTTGATTGAGTTTCACCTTGAGGAAAGGAAGGGATGGTTGGATAAGGGCAGAAAACAAGAGAGAGAAGACTAAAGAATTAGATGGTGGAATAAACAAACTGTTTCAGCGCTAATGGTCAGTCTTGGTGCAGAGATGCTTTTAGACATGCCAATATCTAATACTCAGTGCAGAATAAGGTGAAAACAACATACATCCTCTTGTGTTTAAAGACACGCATACCGAAGTGCACACACTGCTGGATCCACATACTGTAATTAGCCTAATTAGCTTCAATAAAAACAAATATATCGACCCACAGTTAAGCCTATATTAAGCCTGCACTTGTGGAAGAACTGAAAATGCAGTTTAATATAACTGCAGTAAGCAAGTTACTAACTTTGGCTAAAAAATGCTGAAAAAGTTATATTGTAATATTGTGTCAGTGTTTGTAAATGAAGATCAACAATTTCCTTATTGACTTGCTTTCAAACTGCAGTTTTCAGAGTCAAATTACTTGTATGAAATGTATCATCGTTTGTTTTGGAGACTGTTATTTATAAAATATCTTTCCTCTCTGCAAGTGTGGGCTCATGACTTGGACTTGAGTCAGACTGGGGTCTGTTTTTAGTCTTCATCGCAATTACTTATGACTCAGACTTGATCTGATGACTCTGGCTGAGCTATTTATTCACAGACTTGTATAGCTGCTTTTTTGGAGAAGGGTATAAACGGGGTTGGAGCTAGCTCTAAGTGGGTTGTACAAACCTTCCGGAGTTTTCATTGATTGAATTATTTAGTGTCTTGTATGACATGAAGTCCAATCTATTGTGTTTTATTAGCAGCTACACCTACCACAACTCTAAACCCAACCTAACAATAACCTATTGTTATGGCTGGTCGATTAATCGAAATTGACATTCAGAACCTGTAATTGATCAAATGTTTTTGTGGGGAGCCAGATTTGGGGTATTCTGAGTGTCAGCATAAAGGAAAATCTAATCAGTAAGAACATGCATCAAAACAAATATGCGAGAATATTGACAGGAATGTGTGGAAAGCAGAGATAGAGGAAGGATAGACATAGGACATCGAGGCAGGAATCAAACTCGGGTCGCCGTGAGCACCAGAGTGCATGTGTCAACGCACTAACCACTACACCATTGGCGCCTACAAAAGTTGTTTTTACAATATGGATAAATGCACAGCACCCCACATTTACAATGCAGACACCCTTTTCCATCTGCTTGACTTGTAAAACATTGACTTGACATCACATAGACAACTAATAGAATGACTGAACGTTTTTAAAGCATGATCCAATATTGTTTCTCAGAACATATATGGGAAATGCAGGTGTTTAACAGGAAATTTACCTAATCAGTACTTGCAATACTGTCAGCTTATTTTAATGCACAAGTGTAAAAATCACTTGGTTTTGGGAGTATTGGGAGAAGTGAGAGCAACTGTTAGGTGTCTCAACTATAAAAGAATAAACAATGGCATAAATGTACATATGTTGTCAGCTTTACAATAATAAAACACAATACAAAATCTAAAGCACTTGGCATAGACCTTAAAAAAACTACTAAACTGGGTAAGTTAAACAATAAATAATGTACATGCTATTTTATTTGTTATGCATTTGATGTACAGTTGAAGTCAAAATTATTAGTTCTCCTTTTTTCAAATATTTCTCAAATGATGTTTAACAGAGCAAGGAAATTTTCACAGTATGTCTGATAATATTTTTTCTTCTGAAGAAAGTCTTTTTTGTTTTATTTAGGTTAGAATAAAAGCAGTTTTAATTTTTTTTTAAAAATTATTTTAAGGTAAATATTATTATCCTCCTCTAGCGATTTTAATTTTTATATTCTACAGAACAAAATATCATTTTACAATGACTTGCCTAATCGCCCTAACCTCCCTAGTTGACCTAATTAACCTAGTTAAGCCTTTTTATATGACACTTTAAGCTGAATGCTAGTGTCTTGAAAAGTATCTAGTCAAATGTTATGTACTGTCATCATGGCAAAAATAAATTAAATCAGATATTAGAAATGAGTTATTAAAACTATTGTTTAGAATGTGTTCAGAAAAATCTCTCCATTAAACAGAAAAAATTAACAGGGGGCTAATAATTCAGGAGGGATAATAATTCTGACTTCAACAGTATACTAGCCATACTAGTACACAAGAGTAACTGCTGTCTGGAGTATTGTAAGATTATTTGTTGTTAATATATCACACAAACATTTAATAGAAACAAACAAGGATCTTGTTAGGTAAGAGCGAGGTTGTGGTTAGAGACGCAACGTAAAGCATACACAGAGGTGGTGAAAGCATAGACAGATTTCCGTCCGAGGAAGGATGCTTCTTCGTTAAGTTAATTTAGAATAATTAGAGAGCCATAATCAAACACAGAACTATTTTGTAATAAACCCATGCGTGTGTGGAATCACTAAGTATTCCACAGACATCTTTGCACCATGGGACAGTATAATATATCAAAACATTTAATACACACACCACTTTTCCCAAGTTTGGTGTCAGCAAGGTCTATTTTTTTGAAAGAAGTTGATACTTTTTTCAGCAAAGATGCATTAAACAGGTCAAAGGAGAAATTAAAAATCTAGAATTTAACTGAATACTCAAAAAAAATATATATATTTTTTTTAAATTTGTTTTAAGTTTATTTTTGTTTAAATAAATGCACCCTTGGTGAGAATAAGAGACCTCTTTTTAAAAACCCAAATGTATCGACTTAACTTTTGAACAGTAGTGTATGTAAACCATAATGTATATATTTATTAAGCCAACTGATACAAAACAAAACATGCAAATAGAATTGGTAACACTTTACAATAAGTATTAAATCATGTGAAATCAGTTAATATGTTAGGTACACTTATTAAATATACTTTTGTTTTAGTTATGCTTATAGAAATTGGAGTAACACATGCAATAGCAGATAATTCCTAAAAGTTATGTTCATTCAAATCCTTACTGTAAAGTGTCACATTACTCAGATATACATACCACAATCATTTTATTTCAGTAAGAACAATCAATGTGAACTTTGAAATGAGTAATGGCATTTTTTCAGTCTATTTCCCATGTTGCAAAAATGGCAGCCACAGGCTGGAAATATAAAAGCACCAGGACGTGGATTTTGTCACAGCCCCTTGACGGCCCTCTTCAGACTGTGTGTGTAGACGAAAAGTGCCAGGCTCTGGAGGGCCGTTCAGAGTGTGTGTGTTTGTATGAAGAGGGGCTCTGACAAAAGTATCCATGGTGACACAGCAATCTGTAACTCATGCTGCAGCAAATGTGTCCCATTTCCCTAAAGCGTCTGTTCATGCGTCTTGGTCTGTATCTATGTATCCGTCTCTCTCTGTCTATTGATTTCCTCTCCCACCTCTCTATCTTGTTCACTTCACACTCTCTCTCTTTTCTCTCCTCATGCCATCATTTCTCAGTCAGTCTTTAAGTCTTTCTGTGAGACTGCAAGAAGGAAGGGACACATTGTGTTAGCTGCGTATCTCACTTAACACGGTCTGCATGCGTCTGTTAATTGAATAATAGACAGGGTGAGTCTCCGTGGTAACGTGCATTAGTGAGGCAGCATGGGAAATGTAGGCAGCGGAAGTGCCTTACTGCAGTACCTTCAGAGTCTTTAGACATGTAGAGGGAAAGCTTGGTGCCGTAGGGGATCCGAATACAATCTGGACCAGGGATGGAAAAGAGCAATAGATCAACCCAACCCACGCACAGATTAAAAGACAAATGCACCGTAACACAATACAAAAAGACAGGGAAGCAACCTGTGTGTCCACAGCGCACTATTTTACAAAAAAGCAAGATATATTCAAAGGGATAGTTCACTATTTACTCACACTCAAACTTTATAAAACTTTTGAGTTTTTCTTAGGTTGAACCTAAAAAGAGATATTTTAAAGAATGCAGGCAACATGTAGCCTTTGACTTCATTCATAGGGGAAAAATGAATAGTTCAGATGCAAAAAAACATGTTAGAGCTGTCTGATATTTTCTACTAAAATAAGCATGTTTCTCGGCCTCCGATGTGTATTCAGTTTTTTTCTTATTAAATGCAATAAAAAGAGCTTATTCTTTGCCAGAAACGTAAAATAGCTGAACCTCCACTAAATAGCCTGAGAAGAATGCTCATGTAACCCCGCCAGCCCTACTGCACCCAACCCGCTCTGAGCTGGAATCGACCCGGTGACTTTCTGCAGTTGGATGGTGTAGGACCAGCGAGGTTACATTGGTGCCTTGACCCAGATAGGAGTGAGGTTTAGGAAGGTGAGTGTAGCAGAAGCCAGCTAGTAGTGCTATGCAGGTAAACCTCACTCCACTGACCTCTAAAGGTGCTCTAACGACAGACGCTCAAGGCCATGGTCTTTAGCCTGCTTGGTAGAGCAACTGACTCCCATGCGAAAGGTGCCGGTTTAATCCCAGCTCAGAGTGGGTTAGGTGGTGTAGGACCGATGGGATAACACTCATTTTAGAAGAAAAATTCTGATGGCACTTTTTTTTGCATCTGAACTCTTTCCAGTATTCTTCCAAATATCTTTTGTTCAGCAGAAGAAACTCAATTGAGTTTGGAAGCAGCGAAGGGAGAGTGATTGTAAAAAAAATAATAAATAAAAAAATAAACATTTTGGGTGCCTTTAAGGCCAATTCACATTGCATAGACCAAATGTAGGCATTGAGTAGATTATAGTATGTCTTTTCTCAGATATTACATGATTTGACTAATGGCGATTCAAACATGTTCAATTTGTGAAAACAACAACGGGCAACAACTAGGATAATAAACTGATTCAACAAAATCTGACAAACTTCATATTGGTTGACTTTGTTGGATGCAGTGTGAACTGGCTTTTTGAAGCAATGGGTTGAATTTACCCAGTGTCACGGTCTCTAATCCTAAGTATAAACACTCATGGCATTTTAAAGGTGCATTAATCAATTTCTAAGAAACATTAATGAATGAAAATCAACACCAAACAATCATACCCCTTTATTTATGGCTGTCAACACAGGAAATGACAACCGCTGGTGTATCAAGAGAACAAAAGTGGATGTTTTTATCACTAGCTATGTTTCCATCTAAAGATGCTAATTAAATTTATGCGCAAAACAGGAATATCGGATAAAAAAAACTTGCGAATAAAGCAGCATTTCCATCTAATGAGTCAAAGAGAACTAAATCGTCGCTTCCTGATTAACTGGTGCCAGGTAATGGAGGTTATTCAGGTACTTCTGGAGGTAATTAATAATATAGTAACACTAATACTGAAATGGTTAAGGCATTTTAGAATGACCAAAACTACATTTCAGATGTTTTACAATGTGCTCAGCCTGCTGATGTAATGTAAATCATTTTTATCATCAAATGATCTCTTATAACAAAATCACATGACATTTTTTAATGTGCATACTGCGATTTGTTCCGTAAAAGTGTTTTCATCTTAGTTTCTTTTCTAATCGAATAAAAGTTTATCCGACTCAGTTATGCACATACATTTTTTTGCGCATTTTCAAAACTTGTGTGCATCTTGGTGTTTTCATCAACCATTTTTTATGTGGATATCCAAAATGTGTATAAAAATAGGTGGATGGAAACATAGCCATTGCTGATGGTAATAGTAGAATTCATCAGTCAAAGATGATCCAAGACTATATGCAAATATACCAGGTTCAGACAAGACAATATTTTTTTCAGTTGTGATTAGTCCGTTTCAAGTTATACTATATTTTTGACAACCAAATTTTTGTTGGTCACAATAAGCATGTCAGGCAACACAACCAATCACTTGCAGTCATTAACAACATGTTTGATGTCATCAAGAAGGTGGAACTAGCAACTGACTTCTGCTGCATTTGGAAAAAAAAACACTTTTTTTCTGTAGCAGTTATTGTCCACTTTTAGGCTTTTAATATAAAATGATGGACCGTTGCACCCTGGAAGCCATTGTCATATGCAAATCACTACTGCTTGTGTGAAAATAAAGCTATTGTATAGTCCAAACCTGTCATCAGGCAAAGCTTCATGGGTAACACTTTATTTTGATGGTCCATTTGAGTATTAGTTGACTGTCTGCATAATATCTGTTGATACTGCTGCTAAACAGACATTTAACTGACTATAAGAAACTAGGCAAGTACACGTAAACTTACACTAACCCTAACCCCAACCCTAACCCAAACCCTAACAGTCTACTTATAATCTGTTGAGAATTAGTTGGGATGTTGACACAATGTAACTTAAATTCAACAAACGGACCATCTAAGTAAAGTGTGATCTTAAAATGCAGTGAAGTTGCTATGGTATAGTTTTAATATTAGCCATATTTTCTATATCTAATATTATAACTACACTGTATGTAGGATCTGTGAAATAGCAATATGCAGAAACCAACCAACATCTTAAATGATTGTAATCATTTTCCAACAAGTTATATTAATCTGACCTTTTTCTCTTTTGTAATGTCACACAGCCATCTCTTAATTAATCTCCTACACTCTCAGAAATTAAGATATGCGAGCTGTCATTGGGGTGGTACCTTTTTTAAAAGGTACAAATTTGTACCTAAAGGTCCCTATTAATACCTCAAGGGTACATACTAGTACCTAAAAAGTACAAAAGTGTTCCTCTTAATTTTTTTTTGCTACTAAAATATACTTTTGTGGTACCAATAAGGAGCCTTTAAAGTACAAATGTGTACCTTATATGTAAAAGTACCACCCCAGTGACAGCTCGCGTACCTTTATTTCTGAGAGTGTACTCCCTCACTTTCTTTTCTTCCCCTATCATGAACAGACATGCCCCTATTGCTGATTTGCTATCTGATTTGCTGTCTGATTGGTCCGATCCATTTCCACCAGGGGGTTGTTTTTGTTTGGGTGTTGATTTCAGTTTTTAACCAAGCTTCTCAGAAATCACTTATTGCACCTTTAAGTTCAGTACTATGTCAATTGAGTTTAGTAACAGATGTATAAATGTGCATACCATCTCCAAGCGGTGAAGGGAAGACAGGCATCTCATAGCCGGTGGGTGTCTGAGGGGAACTCTGGGAACTAGTGTCTCTGGAGCTACAGTTAGAGGCAGAGTTTATAGGCGCTGAGGAGATGAAATAGATATCAGACTACAGAAACAAAGAGAGGAAGAGATGACAAGATCAAATCAGTGAGAATCCTGCTTTGTTTAATAGAATGTATAAATGTCATACAAAAAAATCAATCATATAAAAGGGATGACAATATCATGAATACATTTAATACTGTTAATTTAGGATTATTTTGCTAATTATTTTAATAATAAATAATGTTTTAATAATAAAATAATAAACTTTCTATTCAGTTCTAAAAAATAACACTTTCTATAAATATATTAAGCAGCACTGTCTTTTCAACATAAATATTAAAAGGTTTACCATCAAAGCTAACATTAGGATAATAACATTAAATAATATTAATAATAGCAAATACTTAACAATATTAATGTTTACTGTGTTTGTATCACCTGGATGCTCTCCTAGTGAGCATAAGAAACCTCCCTGAAAAATATAACAATCTGTACACTCTTAATGACAAGCACGTTTTCCAAAACTGCTTTGAAATAATAATTATTGTGAAAAGCACTATACAAATAAACTTGAATTATATATTTTTTTAAAATGAGTACAAAAATGATATATGATGCTGTATGAGCTATTTTTGCATCCAAAAATGTGAGTTAACTTTATGCATAAAACTGGATTCTTGCAGGTAAAAAATGTGCAAATAAAGCAGCATTTACATCAGACGAGTCAAAGAGAAAAAAATCAAACTTCTTGATTAACTGCCACCAAATATCAACAGTAAAAACGGAGTTTGCTGCGGTAGGAGAAGCTTGTGTCAATCTTCACTTTATTTAATAAATAACTTGCACCTCAGAAGGCAATTCTGACATGCAGTGAACGTGCAGTGGTGTTTGAAGGCGTGAGACACGGAGCACAGATGCTCTTGATTCTGGAGGTCATTAATAATATAACACTAATACTTAGATGGTTAAGGGGTTTTAGAATGACCAAAACAACATTTCAGATGTTCTACAATGTGCTCAGCCTGCTGTTTTTTTCATTCACACACATTTTTATCAACACTTGATCTCTTATAACAAAATCACATGACCTTTTTTTAATGCGCATACTGGAATTTGTTTGGTAAAAGTCTTTCCATCATTGTTTATGCGCATCTTTTTTTTATTGAATAAAAAGTTTATTCTTCTCAATTATGCACATATATCCAAAATGTGCATAAAAATAGGTGGATAGAAACGTAGCCATTGTTATATATCCAGCAACTAAATCACATACAGTAAGATGTGAAAATGGTTCATTTTAAAACACTTTATAGCATATAGTCTAAGACTTATAAATAAAAATGTAATTTCTAAGTCCCTGTTGACAGCCAGTGCAGCTGTATAAGGCACATAAAAGGTATTGCTGGAACACTTACTCTTGATGCAGTCAACTGCAATTCTGGAACAACAGCTGTATAAACTAGGTTTCCATTAACGACTAGCCGGATCTCTATGGAGTCTGTGGTGAATGCGAGTATATATGGGAATGCACACACTGTAACACAAGAAGTGACATAAAAGGAAAAGATATTGGTTATTTCCTCTAGTGTAAATGCAGGACAACTGTTATTAAGAAGAAGTATTAGTAATACTGGGCTGTAAGCCGTAAAAAGTACTGACCAGTAGCATTAGGCATTTGGTTCCAGCTAAAATGAAAGTCTGAAGTGTTGGGCTGAATCATGGGTGTGGCTCCATTAAACGGACACACCTTCTTATAGACGCAGATATCTGTTTAAATGCAAATGCAGCATTAGAGGGTGTGGCTACACACATGAAATCAATCACTGATGTTTTAATAGACACTAACTGTTATAGCAAAGAAGAAGTCCAGCCTCTCCATCTTCATAAACGTCTATGGCAGCAACAAAGTTGACCTGGGGAAAAGTGAAGAGTCCATGTCAATAATAGTTTTTCGTGTAAATGAGCAAATACAATACAGTGGTAATACAAAAAAAAAATTTAGTAAGGGATTAATTTGAGCACTCAACCACCATATAATGTGCATGGACAAAATGCAGTAGAGACAAAATATAGTAAAAATAGGGAACTCCAACAACACTTGTTGTAAAAGGAAAACATTTTTTAAATAAAATAAATCAAATGGTGATATGTTTTTGTGCGCGGAAGAAGTCTTTTAAGCCAAAACGCAGTGGCATTTATTTTCATTCATTCATTAATTTACTTTTCGGCTTAAGCCTAGTTTACACTTCTGCGTCGAGTGATTGGCGTGACCCACGGCGCATGCAATGCGCATTGTCGTGCATTCATACTTCTGCGCACTGTTTCTGTTGCTCTGCAATAGCATTTCTGAAACGCTAGCTGGCAGTGAGGTTTTTATGTTCCTCTATGTCGAGTTTCTTCGCTGGTGTTTTGTTTTTCGGATCGCTACCTTAATGTACAAGTGGCTCAAACTTGCTCATTTTGAGGTGGGAATCAGCAGACGTGCAACAACTTTATTCATAAGGTAAACACAAAACAACATTTTCTATTTAGAGCTCATTCATGAGACTCAACACTTGTAAACACTCGCTCCATAGGGCTCGCGTGGCTCTCACCTCCGCCCACACTCGTCAGCACTATCTAGCTGAACAATCATAGAGCTTGCGCTACGCGTTGTTGCAACGTTTAGTTACATTTTTTGCGTGTCAGCATCGGTGGCGTCCACAATGAGCGCTGGATCATATGCGTGCGCTTGACGCAGAAGTATAAAGCAGCCTTTAGTCCCTTTATTAATCAGCTTATCCAGCATATGTTTTACTCGGCGGGTGCCCTTACAGCTGCAACCCATCACTGGGAAACATCCATACATACTTATTGACACAAACACACAACGGACAATTTAGCTTGACCAATTCACCTGTACCACATGTATTTGGACTTGTGGGGGTTCCTTGTGCGAACACAGGAAGAACATGCAGACTCCACACAGACACGCCAACTGACCCAGCCGAGGCTCGAACCAGTGACCTTCTTGCTGTGAGGCAATCATGCTACCCATTGTGCCACAGTGACGCCCTGGCATTTATTTTATTTTATTATTTTTTTGCTTTATTACAAGTGTTACTGGAATTCCCTATTTTTACAGTAAATGTTGTACATATAGGAAAGGATGTATTAGTAATGTGCACATTACTGTTCGAGGCTGTTTCAGTTTGAGGCTAGCAAGTCTGTTATGCTCTCAATAGATAAAAATAAGTAAAAATAATATTATGACCATTTCTCCAGTTATTAGCGTCACATGATCCCCACAAATCATTTCTCAAGAAACATTTCTTCACTTTACCATTGTTGAAAATGTTGATGAATAAAACGTTTATCATAACAGCCTTTATAAGATATGTAATGTTGTAAATCAATGCTGTAATTAAAAAAATGATAATAATCAAGTGCATAATTTCTGAAATAAATGCAATTGTCAATTTGTCAAGATTGTCAATTGCTTTTTAAAATTTTGTCTAAATAAAATTAGTCATAAATGTCTGACTTTAAAACATTTGAATAGTAAAGTATATCTGCACTGGCGTATGTGTTTCTCACCCGGTTGGAATCTACATGATGTAGTCTGTAGGCGTCTCCAGTGCTCTCGTTGATCAAGTCAAACTGATGTCTGTAGGCCACACAAATCATGTGATCATTCTCTCCTGTCGGGCCATCAACCAGTGCCATCACCACCGGAGAGTCACATAAGCAGATCTCCTAAAACCAGGGGACAGCAAATATTTCAAATGCTGAAAATAGGTCTGTGAGAATCTTCCCTGAAAGTTGCAAATGACAGCAATTAATTTATTAAGACAGCCAATTCCAGTCAATAACAATTATGTGTTTATTGTGTGTCCTACCCGTATGTACTGGAACTCTTCTACGGGTGAGTCTGTGCTCCCTGTGACTGTAGCGATAGAGCTGACACATTCGAGCCGTGACTGTTTCCTGGTGATCAGAAGGAGCTTGTTTCTTATCGCCGCAACAATTCTGAGCTCCACTCCATGATGTGTGTTTATGGAGTAGAGATGGCAGCCTGAAGAAATACAAAGCTGTTACTTTGAAATGTAAAGGATTGTGACAACCTCATCTCATTATTTAATTATTAGAAACGGCTCCACTTTATAGTAGGTTGCCTTAACTAATAATATGTACCTACATTGAAATTAATTATCTGTTACAATGTATTTATTGTGTATATACATGTCTACACAGTGTACTTATGATTGGTTAAATACATTAATAAATTAATTAATTCATTCATTTTCATCTGCTTTTCCGGGGCCTGGTCGTCGGTGCATCAGTCTTAAGCCCCATTCACACGGGGCGTCAGCGTCAACGCTTCCCATTCACTTTGAATGGGTGACGTCAGGCGTTGCCGAACTGCATTGTGGATCCGTTCAGAGGTGTTGCTCGCTTGAGAAGTTGGGACTAGCTCACCTTTTTAAGCGCCGACAGAAGCGTCAGCCAATCAGATCGCTTTACGCAAATACACCAACTAGAAAGTGGCCTATTGCTGACTGAATTTCATTGGCTGACGCTGCTATGACGATGGCTTCAGCCCCAACTTCAGACACGCCTTTAGTCAAGCGTTGACGCTGAAGCCCTGTGTGACTGGGGCGTTAAGCCTAGTTCACACTACAGGATTTTAAACATCAGCAGATCGCTGTGCCGTTCACACTACATGCCTTGACTTTGTGTCTTTTAATCTCTGTGGTGTTCACACTACGCAACACTCCGTGAACGATCCACAAGAGGGGGGTCACACACTACATGATCTGACAACAACTCATTCCCCATCAGCTCATTCAAGCTACCAAACCACAGCCGATGAAAATTTGAGGGAGGAGTCGTCAGAAAAACCTGAACACTATTGGCTGCTTGTGTGCTGATGACATCACTGACAGCGTTTCAAGCTTTGGAGAAAGCATTTAAAAACATCGTCAAATCAGCTGATTTATCAGCGGATTAATCACTCATCTGCAAGGTTCGATAGGATAGATACACAGAGAGTTTTTAATTTTTGTAATTGTATAACTCTTTGAAATAAAACTAACATATTTATAACACCCTGACATTTTCTAACTATCAGTGTATTTCTTTCTGACATTGTTATTTTTTTAAAATTACAAAACAGTAAAGAACTGAGCATTTCTGCCTTAAATTACCATATTGGTTAAAATGACTGCATGCATGTCTGATACTTTTCACTGTGGCTTTAAATATGTGTGCATTTTCTTGCCTGGCAACTTCCTGCTACAATAAACAAAACTTTCCGATGGCAAAAACTTCAGTTTACTTCAGATATCTTTCAAAACAGCATATCTCCGCATAGCTCCTGTTTGAAAGTGAAAATGACAGCCAAGACCTTTAAGTGTTTTAGTATCTTAACTACATATTTATAGGTTGTATTACCAAACAAAGATTATATTTTTAGGGTAATGGTGTCATTAAATATGATGCCAGACATTCAAAGCTTAATTTTAATATCTCAATAATAGCTTTAAATGTAAATATGTTGTGACAGTATGGCGTTTCATATGAGAACGGTCAGAATGAGCAGTATGGTAATTCTAATAGTTACACAATTCTAGTTCCACTGTTAATATAGCCTACTCTCATGTGTGTGCTAACGCAGAATGAAGCGAGTGCACCGATGCCCATTCTGACCAATCACAGATGTTTCTGCTGAGCTCCTGAACACACAGGCATTTAGCTCATGCTGATATGCTCTCTCATTGGCTGCAGCTCGTCACTACATCTGCCCACACGTGGGGTTGAGTCGGCCGACTGCTCTGGAATATTTAGCATGCTGAATGTTGGATTTCCGTCTGCGAGGTGTCGGCGACGCGTCAGCGAGCCTCGGTGATGCGTTGTTCATTAGTTCACACATAAAGAGCGGCGAGCGCCGTGCACCCGCAGATTTCTTCCTGATCACAGCCCGATCTGTCGGTGAGCTCGTTAACTTCCAAATCGGGCTCAAATCAGGCTTAAAATCCTCTAGTGTGAACTAGGCATTAGGAGAGAACCCCCGACTTCCATCTCCCCAGACACCTCCTCCAGCTTCTCCAAAGGGAATCCTAAGGCATTCCCAGGCTAGCTGAGAGACATAGTCCCTTCAGCATGTCCTGGATCTTCCCCGAGGCCTCCTCCCAGTGGGACATGCCTGGAACAGGTGACAGAGCTCCTCACCCTATCTCAAAGGGTGCGCCCTGCCACCCAGCGAAGGAAGCAATTTCGGCTGCTTGTATGTGAGATCTTGTCCTTACAGTTATGACCCAAAGCTCATGACCATACGTGAGAGAAGAAGCGTAGATTGACCGGTAAATCGAGAGCTTTGCCTTTTGGCTCAGCTCCTTCTTTACCACAACAAACCAATACATCGACCACACTACTGCTGCCGCTGCACCAATCAACCTGTCTAGCTCCTCCATGAACCGCCACCTTATCGTGGTGGAGGGCTTTGAATGCCTGAGTGATCCTAAGAGCTATGTTGTTGGGGGCTAATGCACCTGGTTGGGTCTTTCAAGGAATAAGGTCTTAGGTTACAGGTCAAACTAAGTGAGCACAACATCAAGGGCCGTGACGTTGCCCGGTATGGCACAGCCGGGGCCTCACCCTGGAGCCAAGCCTGAGGTTGGGGCTCGTATGCAAGCACCTGGTGCCCGGGTTTTATCCTACGGAACCCGAGTTCAGCCCGAAGGAACGACGTGGGACAATCCCCCTGCAGGTCCACCACCCACAGAGGAGCCGTAAGGGGCCAGTGCATTGTGAACAGGTAGGGGTCGAAGGTTAGGACCATGACAACCCAATCAACAGGCACATAAACTAGCTATTGGGACAGGGAATGGTTAAATAAATGTATGTAATTAATTCATTATCATCATCATCATCCTTAGCGCGACAATCCAATACTGGATCCTGGCTGCCTCAAGTAATTGGCCACAAAGACAGTGGCTTATAAGGTAGCAGTGATGCCATGTTTTTGCAATATATTGCATGCACAGCTTTGACACTGATCTAATATTAAAGTGCCCTATTGAGCTTTTTCAAATGTTACCTTTCATGTTTGATGTAGCTGTTTGTGAATCAACGTGCACGATGAATAGAGTTCTTGTCTCCCAAAAGAAAGAATCGATTTTGAGCTGCCTCAAAGGAGATGTCTGTCCTTCTCAAACATAGGTTTGCAACAAATTTGCATAATGCACACACGTCTGCATAAGCTACATGTCAACAATGTCTACTTTGACCCTCAGACACTAGCTTTATCAGAGGCCTTGCAGAGTCTGTGTTGTTGACATGTTGAGAAGAGTGGATCTGTAAAAGCTGATCCATTTTGCATGCAATTTCAAAAGATGAGTTCACTGTAAAACAGTGCAAGGAAGCATCCAGAGCTGAGATTCAGATATGGTAATTGGAGTTTGATTTCCAACATTCACAGTTAGTGCTACACAAATCACACTGGAGCATTCAACCAATCAGAGCAGAATCTCAGAAAGGAGGGTTTTAAAGATACTGGATCCTTTAAAAAAGGGTTTTAGAAGCGCTAGCTGTTTCCATCTACCCATTTTTATGCGCATTTTGGAATATTGTATAAATAGATGCTTAATAGAAACATCAGGATGCACATACATTTTGAAAAGGCACATAAAAATCTTATGCTCACAATTGAGTAGGATCAACTTTTATCCTATGAGAAAAATGTGCATAACTACAATGGAAACAGAATAAATTCCAGTAAATACATCAAAAAAGGCATGTGGTATTGTTTTAACAGATCATGTGATATCAAAAATAGGCATGATGGGAGAGCATTCCTTGACAACTCCTCTGACTGACCACATCGCACAACATCTGAAATGTTGTTTTGGTACTGTAGTTTTAAAACTCCTCAGCCAAAATACATCAAAATAGTTCAGTGTTATTTTTTCCAGAACTGTCTTGAGTCTTCTGAGGTACAAGTAATTTATTATATAAGAAAAAAGTCCAACAGTAGCTTGCAAATTCTCGTTCTCTTTTTGATATTTGGTGCCATTTTATCAGGAAGTCATGATTTTTATTCTTTTACTCATTAGAAATGATGCTTTATTATTGAACAAACAGTTAAAGTCAGAATCATTAGCCAGCCACCCTGTTTATTCAACCCCCCCACCCAATTTCTGTTTAACAGAGATTTTCTCAACACATTTCTTTCAACATAATAGTTTTAATAACTCATCTTTAATAACTGATTTATTTTATCTTTGCCATGATGACAGTAAAATAATATTTGTCTAGATATTTTTCAAGACACTTCTATACAGCTTAAAGCGACATTTAAAGGCTTAACTAAAATAGCTTAAAGGGGCTAATAATTTTGCCCTTAAAATGTTTTTTAAAAACTAAAAACTGCTTTTATTCTAGCCGAAAAATAAAACAAATAAGACTTTGTCCAGAAGAAAAAATATTATCAGACATACTGTGAAAATTTCCTTGCTCAGTTAAACATAATTTGGAAAATATTTAAAAATAAAAAAATCTAATCAAATGGGGGCTTATAATTGAGAGAAAAGTTTGAGTGCTGCAGTGTTCATCATCATTTTTTGCCTGCTCTACCAAATGGTTGACCATATTTTGACTGTTTTAAATAATGATCGTTAAAATAATTTCAGAAATTGCTGTTTTAAGTAATGGTTTACACGCACAGCATTGTTAGTTTACAAAAAATCAAAGAAACATAATCCTGTTGCACTACTAAACTTGACTTTGGTTTTACTGTAAAAAAAAAAAAAACAAGACAACATGTTAAATGTGATTCTGAAATATATTATGGCATACTTTAAGATGATTTAGTATTCAAAAATGTTTTATTTTGATTGTTTTTAAATAAATTGGTCCTACACTTGTTCATAGTATTTGTAGTAATTCTGGTACTTTTACCATAAATTGACATATTAACCTCCACCAAATGTTTGATACTTTAGAAATTATGGGATGTGTTGAAAAAAATGCATTGATTGTGTTAAGAGTTAAGAAACCCAATCTGATTTTTTTGTTGTTGGTGGGACAGTTAAAGGGTTAAAGTAAATATACTGTAAACTGGGCTTAAAAACAAAGTTTTTTACTAAATTGCTTTAATGCTACAGTTTACTATGTAATAATTTGATCTTTAATGCAGTTATTTACATTTTTGGCTTGTTGGTAAACCATTTTCTTAATTATATAGCATTTTTTTTACCCTGACCAAGTCATAAGGCAGATTCCAGGAAAACAATGCAAAAATTCATTCCATGAACATCTTCGGAATGTTCTATGCAATAAAATCCAATCATAAACAAGACTGTGTGTGTATATGTGTGTTTGTGTGTGTAAATTTAGCTGCTTGAATGTAATAAATCTTAACTACACTGAAAAAAAACAAAAATTCAATTTAGTGATGTTCAACTATTTTTTTTAATTCAGCCCAAATAAGTTGTTTACAACCACTTATATTAAAAAAAGTTTAGTAAATCCAAGAAATCCTCTTTAAATAATCTTTTTTTGTGTACTTCTTAAGAATGACTTGAACCTTGTAATTTTCCAATTTCACTAAGTTGCTTCACAAGTTTTTTAAATATGAACACGCAATATTAGATTAATGATAAATACAGTATATTTAACAAATAAATAAATAATCGGTGTGGGTGTTCACTGATGTGTTTCCTACCTTTGGTTTTCTCAAGCTTGTTCTCTCGACTGTCACACTTGGTGCGGACGAGCTGTCGCTCCTCTATACCTTGTTTGAGTGTGCTCAGTCTGTAAACATACAGTCGAGCATCCTTCCCTGTAGCACAGTTGAAATTGAACACAAAGTAGTTGAAATCAGACCAAATCGTGCAATTTTAAGCCTCAAGTACTCTTGTGCAGTCCTGGTACAGTTTCAATAATGCATTCAAAGGGGAGTGTGTGACCATTTCAATTGTTCAGTTAATTCTGCAAACAAAAGCTTTCAGTAGCGTTACCGTATGATAATAGCCTGGCAACAAATGAGAGAGCCGTCCCATCAAACAGAATGACATTTCAGCTAATGCAACATGTTTGGTTTTCAAATGCCTGTCATAGTGAATGAAAGTCGCTTGGTGACGGAGTTGATAACATATTCATTATTTTCCCTCTGCTAGAGCTGTGCTTGCCAATAAAACTCAGAGTTTGCTGTGCATGTGTCTTGCAGTAATGATCAGAATAGAAGATGGTGGTAGACACTAAATTACATGGATCTCTACTCTGTGCTTTTCCTTATAATGAGCTTTAAGTCTAGACAATGTGAACCAGAGATGGTGCCTGAGTGTGTGTGTTTGAGATACTATTTTGTGCTATTCCCAGTTGGATAAAGATGCTCATTAGAGCAAAGACCAAGAGTTTCCTTCACCGGTTTATTGTTTCTTTCTCACGCTCTCTCTCGCTCTCTCTCTCTCTCTCTCCTTTGGCAGACAATTGTACACACTTTCTTTTACCCACCCAAGATCTGTACCATTTTCATTTGCTCATATGAATATGAAAGCAAACACATTTCCTACCTTTGTCTGCTCTTGCAATGAGGAGGTCCTGAGGTTCAAGCACGTGCATTTGTTTGACGGTCAAGGTTTTGTCAAATACCTGCACCGGAGGCAGGGTTGGTGAATCTAGACCAGCATGCAAAGCAAAATTAGTTTGCGGTTTGCATGGTAACTCTGTCTCAAATTGAGAATCTCTTGCTTTGGTTGATTAAAAGACACGTTCAGTAGTAATTCAAATGTATTGTATTACATATAATGTACATTTATATGTAGTGTTGTCGGATTGGTTTCACATACCTGCATTGGAGAACAGCGGATCTGAAGCTGGGGAAGACATAATCAGATTTCAGCAAGTTTTAAAGATGGAGGAAGTGCCATATGCATTACACATATACAATATAAAAAAAAAATCAATGCAGTTTGGTATTTTTTAATTTACAAGGTACATTTTAAGGCGCAAAATAAATATAAATATAAAATAAAATGTCAAAATAAAATGTTATTAAATGTAGTAAATCTAAATATAAAATTAAAAGACCCCCCAAAATACAAGATTAGTTGGGTATGGGTTTGAGTAAATGATTGATATTTTTTGGTATAATAAATTTTTTTTCAAATTTCAAAAATAGATATCATGTTTTTTTTTCTTTAGAAAATGTTAGTTGGTAAAAATGACAAATATTTGAATTGTTGTGTTTTGAAAGTGTTTAAATCAGGGTTATTCCACTAAACATTGATTTCCTAATAGGTATGGGATGATAACCGTTTTCATGGTATACCGCGGTAAAACCGTCAACATTTTCAGCTATATCGTTCCTAAGGTATTTGTACGATTTTTTTATTAACTTTTTTATCTTCAGCAGCAAAGATATCTAAAGGTGCAGTTTTAAATTGTTTAAAAAATTTGCTTTTAAAACAAAGACAGCAAATTCAATAATTTATTCAGCCTGACATGTTTACTCTTCCAAAATATTTTAAAGAGCCCATATTATGGGTTTTTGAAAATCCCCCTCCATGTAGTGTGTAACACAGTTCTAAGTGAAGTGATGTATCCAGCTAAGGCTTAAATCTGTAAGAATACAGTGTTTAAAACGGTTGATTCATCTATAAAAGAGTCGATTCATAGTGCTTCAAACGAGTCGCCTTGATACCGACTCATTAGGTGTTTCGCCATGACGTACGAATGAAACCAAGTTATTCACGTGCACGCGCAAACCCGGGAGATTTCAAACCTGAGGCCCCGCCCTCTGACGCAGTAACCCACACACACACACACCCACAAACACACGCACACAAACATGCCGGTCGATTGAAGTCACATTGCAGATGGATATTATATTGAGTCTCTACCCAAAGATGAAACCTCAGCATTATAGCCAAGCAGTTGGAAACTACTGGAAACTTCTGGAAGCTACATGCTACAAAGAATACTTCATCTGCGTTTGTTAAAGGAAGGATCAGTAACTTACTGATGGACATCAGGATGGGTTTCTTCCATTTCTCAAGTGTAAGTACGTGCGGTTAAAGTTGTTGCCTCGTTGACTCTAGCTTGCAAATGTATTTAGTTGTGATTTGTTACTTGTAACCGAGTGTACTGTATCAGGTTAACTGGCTATATTCTCTTATCGCGTGCAAAGTCACGTTAAAAACGCGACGCGTGCTGCTTTGTTTATGGAGCTCCGTGGTAACGTTAGAGGTCTGCATACCCGCGGCTGTCCCCGCGCCAGATTTCTGCGGCGCGGGAATAAATTTCCGAATAAATCGCCGGAGCGGTCGGTAACGGGTTTGATTTGGGACGGGAGCGGGCTGCCTGAGAAAGAGAAAGATGTGTCTGCTTGGTGCTTGTGTGTTAGTGCGCACGCGCGCGTATGAGAGAGAGAGAGAGAGAGAGAGAGAGAGAGAGAGAGAGAGAGAGAGAGAGAGAGAGAGAGAGAGAGAGAGAGAGAGAGAGAGAGAGAGAGAGAGAGAGAGAGAGAGAGAGAGAGAGAGAGAGAGAGAGAGAGAGAGAGAGAGAGAGAGAGAGAGAGAGAGAGCGAGAGCTTTATGCTTGGTGTGTGGTATGCTGTGTGTGTGTTTATACAGACAGCTGTCTGGACTGTATATCTGGGGGATTTTCGGTTTTGTTCTCCCCCGCTCTTTAGCGGGATCGGGCGCGGCGGGCAGAATACGGGGCGGGTTCTAAGGCTAAAACCTGGCGAGTGCGGGCGGAAGCGGGAGCGTTCTCGTCCGGAGGTGTGTGTGTGTTTTTGTGTGTGTGTGTGGCAGCTAAAATCCACGCCTACACTATCTAGCGTGTATGAACTGTGATTACTTTTTAAATTGCTGATTAGCTATTGGCCATTTCACTCTCTGACTGAAGGCAGTCGACCAATCGCGACAGACTGTCATCGGTCCAATCAGCGTAGATTAGCTTCGCGCTAAGGAGGGGTTTGGGAACAAATGAATCACTGAACGATTCATACAGGAGTCGCTGGGATAATTAGGTAAAAATAAATGCAGATTATAAGAACATGAAAGTGTTTTTTGTCCTTGCATGCATATTAGACTGTTGTTGGAGACCCTTACAACCAAGATATGACCCTATTTCATGTATAATATGGGCTCTTTAAATGCTTCTCAAAATAAAATATATTATGTTCAAAAGGGGAAAAAAGATTTTGTATTTAACCTAGACATTTAAAAAGAACATACTTTTAAACAGTAATCACAATACCGTGATACCGTGAAACCAACTATGATAAAACTATGATTTTTATCCAAGGTTATCACACCATTAGAATCTTATACCAGCCCATGCCTTTCCTAACTTTATTTTTTCAAAAAAAAAAAATTTTTTTAACTTTTCTGGCACCTTATTTGTTTTTTCATGTAAAAAACACACACTAAATGACATGTATTATGTATCGAAATAGTTTCATCAGTAGTTTGCAAAATATCTAAATTAAAAAGGTTGACAGGTTGTTGTTCCCTGTACTGTATATAAAAAGGCATTGTCATTTTATTTTGTGTTCCATGAAAGGTTGCGTTGTTGTTTTTTCTTCAGAATTTTCATGTTATTTCCCTCTTTAAGGAAGTATAAAACTCATTCGGTTCAAATTTTATGCCCATTCATCTGATCCATGTGGATCTGTCAAAAAGAGGCTGGCAGAAGTTACATTCAGCCTGTATTTTCTATATAATTTTCAGAAGTCTGCCAGTTTCTCCAGCTGTGATAAAGCATTCTCACCCTCCAGCAGCATGACTCCTGCTGAATCTGTGGCGACCAGTAATGACTGACCCCATGAGTCTCCACAGACTATATCATAAGGGAAGCTGCTGCAGAACGACTGTGACTCCCATGGCTGAAAAGATGGTAGAAACACAAAGTCAGAGATATATCTTAAGCAAAAAACATCCCCTCTCATTTTCCTTTTGCCTCTTACCTCTTTCCTGCAAAGGCCAGTGGTGACTAGACTGGTGGGCGCATCACCTCGAACTATAGTTTTTAGCTTTAAGGCCTAGAAACATTATTGTTATTAATAACATTACTCATTTTGTCATGTTGCATTCATGGCATATGCAGGATGTTGGCTAAATCTACATCTTACCTGTCCCACCCTAACGAACTCAGCCTGACGTGCCTCCTCTTTTTTCCGGGCGGATTTAGGTGACTCTGGCAGGACATCGCTGAATGAGCGTCGATTCAGCATGTTCTGCGGAGAGAAGGGAACCTACAGGAGCAGTACAGATAAACATGGGTCTGAGAGACTGACCCAGAAACAGCCAGAAAGACAGAGCAAAGCAGAGACTAACAGATGCTTATAGTAGTTAAAATATCTATTACATTGACTCAAACACCTTCAGTCTTATTACTGTTCTTGTCAATGATTTGGATAAGTCTACTAATACTATTGATATAGCAAATCAGTTTACCCCAGAGAGAGCAAATATCATGTATATTGTCTTTGTATTTTCAACGCAATATCGTGGCTGTTCTTAATATTTAGATTTAGTGGCTAATTTGTATGAATTTGTATATCATTCATATATTTTTGCTTGATTTGCGCAATGACATTTGGGCATGGGGTTTGTGGGCTCACCTCCTTTTAAAAATCATAAATTTGAAAATTGTACAAATTCAATTGTATCAAATAGTGGAAATTAGCCACTTTTCCGACAGTAAATAGAATAGAATAAAATAGTTCCCATTTATTTGAGATCAGGCTAGTTATTACAAACACAGGACAGATGATCACAGAAAAGCTGTGATCAGACCTTACAACTTTTTACAACCCTTACAAGCTTTCAAGTAAAGGAATCAAACATCATTCAAACACACAAACTACATTACCCTTTATGCTAAAAAAATCTTTCTGATGGGGAGCTAGGGACTGGGAAACCAAAAGCTACTCTGGCGACATCCTTTTTTTTTCTTTAATCTCCTCACAGCTGCTGTTTGTCATTTTTCGCGTGTGTTATTGTGCTCTGATGTCAACCTGAGTCTGTTCACAAGTTGCGTCTAAAAGCAGGTGAAAGTGGTGCGTGGATTCCTTGACCATTTTCAATGCGTTTTGCAGTAGCGCTCCCCTGGCGTCTTTCGTAACTAGGTGATCATCGTTCACCGTTTCCAGACCATCGCTCCATTTCTAGTACAGGTTTCATTTATGGACAAAATTAAAAAGCACTGCAGTGTTTGGGTGCTTTGTGTTTGTCTGAAGTTGGCTAATTAGTCTGCCATTATCACCGAAATGTCTATATTCCATGCAAAGTGTGAAGTAGATTGGTTAGTTCTAGTTACATGTATTGCAGTGCACTCACGGCATTCTGAAAAGATGTTTTTCAAATAGATGTAGGTGGAAAATGCGAGCATGTCAGGTGCACGCCACTTGCACACCATGTGCGTATCGTTCCTTAATTGCTCGGACAAGCTAGGAGCCCTGAGTCGAAATGACCCTAAAGCTCATTGCCATTCTGTATATAAACATTGATTTATATTAATATAATAACACTTATAAGAAGAAAAAAATTGGACTTTTGGAAGATTTGATCAGTTTCACTGTTACGCCGTAGGTGGAAACAAATAGCCTACCTTTAAAAAAAAACTATTATTTAAAATGAATCATAGTTTAAAAGACTTGTTAGAAAAGCTGAACATCAAGTAATTTTGTTTAACTGTCTATTCTGAGTTATGTGAGAATACTTTTAGCTTAGTCCCTTTAATAATCTAGGGTCGCCACAGTGGAATGAACCGGCAACTTATCCAGCATATGTTTTACGCAGCGGATTCTCTTCTAGCTGCAGCCCATCACTAGGAAACATTCATACACTCTCATTCACACTCATACACTACGGACAATTTAGCTTACCCATTTCACCTATGGCGCATGTCTTTGGACTGTGGTGGAAACCAGAGCATCCGGAGGAAACCCACGCAAATACAGGGAGAACATGCAAACTCCACACAGAAATGCCAACTGAACCAGCCGACGCTTGAACCAGTGACCTTCTTGCTGTGAGGCGATTGTGCTACCCACTGCGCCACCATGATGCTCTAGTTCATTCTGAATCATACCATTCTCTTTACTAGCCATAATAAATAGGTTAATAATCATAATAAAGAATTAATAGTTCAAATTTTGATTCCAATTCTAACAGTTCTTGTTCCTTTTATTCTATCATCAACTATGTTTAGCAGTGCTTCTTCCCGCCCCATTTGTTGTCATTAATTTCCTTTAAGAGTCAGACCACAGTGGTTGGACCTTTTGTTCGTTTTTGCATTCGAGGGTAACACAACAGCAACATTTGTCACAGCAACAAGATGTCATTTTTCTTCGTTTTATTTGCCAACAAACAACTTTCCCTTCCATTAAAATGCAAATTCAAATAATCTCCCAATTTTAGTAATTGAATTGAATAGAAACAAGAATATAAAACAATAAAAAGACGGCTTGAGACGGCTTGCAGAGGGCTGCATGAGAATAAAACTGCATTTGAAAGCTCAGTGGTTTGGAAAAGTTGTACATAAAAGAAGGAAACAAAAGCCTGGAGAAGGAATAATAGCTTGAGGATAAACATAAATACATGCAAGTACTGGACTAGGTCATTGGTTCTCAACCTTTTTGACTCATTGCTCATAACAGTAGTCAAAAGCCTGGTGACTTTTCCAGTTACTAGATAAGTTTTAAATGTAAATTCTACTCATCATTTCTCAAGAAATACTACGCTATATTTCAATGCTTGGCATAGCTAGCAAAATCTGTATTTATTTTATTTCCATGACTTGATTAAGAGATGGAAATCACATTTTTAAAAATTAATAAGCTAATGCTTACTTGTGTTTTTAAGGTTCCAGGTTATGCAAAAAAAAAAAAAAAGGTAATTGTTTTATCTAATTTTAAAGGATCTCAAGTCATGTTAAGGAATTTTAGGCGTCTCCGGCCCTGTGGTTGGTAAACACTGCTCTAGATTGTGTGTCCATACCTTGTGCATGTCAGGCATGAGATCCTGGTACAGGGATCTGATCAGCATGTCCAGTGTACGCTGACGTTTCTGAGCAAAAGTGGGGGTCTCAAGAGTGGCTTTTTCTCCATTTATTACTACAGCAGACAGAAAGATAAGGGTGCCAGTGTTATGTAACAGAACTACCCTCGGGAAACAGCATGACACGTTTTATGGGGTCTGTTTAATGAAAGCATCTGCGTTAACGAGATGTTGAGCCAAAACAAATCATTAAAGCTGGCAACAGAAAAACACAGGTGTGTTTTCAATGTGGTGCAGACAACATGAAACTGCATTTAGCAAGCATTTTAATTCGGTAATCTGTTTTTGACTGAACTGGACCATTCAGAGAGAAATATTTGTAGTGCTGTGATTTCAGTGTTAAATGGCTTTTTGATATTGTTAATGAGTTGGTACAGTTTGATGACAGATTATAGTAACAAAACCTTTTTAGGTGTTTATAAAATGACCACGTGCTGGCAAGTTTACTTACATTTAACTAGTAAAAAGTCCCTGAACTCCTGATGGTCCGTGAACACTGGTGGGGAAGGGAGAGGGGGACCAAAAAGTGGCACACTTTCCTCTGAGAAAATCTTCAACCTGCAACATGACAAAATGATTCACTGATGGAAAACATACACTAAACATTTGAAGTTGGTGAACTTTAAAAAAAGTTTTGACAGGAGACTCTTACATTTAGCAAGCTGCATTTATTTGATCAAAAACAGTGAAATAGTAATTATTTTAATATTGAAGTGATAGTGTTAATTAATATGATCATTTAATACATGGGCCCGATTACTTGATTGTAATTAGTTAATAGTCTCTTGTGACATTCTGAGCTGTGTTATTCTCCACATTCATCGTTTGTATTGCAGATTCATTCTCTTTAACATCATATACAAACTAAGCTGCTCTGTTACAGTTATTGACAACATTGTAAACATAAGGATATCTCTAATGTTAGTACTGTAGTTTTGTTGTGCTCAAATTGAATGATTGTGTTTCATACCCCGCAATGGACTACAACCGTGTTTCTCAACCACATTCCTGGATGAATCACCAGCTCTGAACATATTCCATGTCTCCTGGACCTTGACCAAACACACTTGATTCAGACCATCAGCTCATTAGCTGAGACTGAAAGACCTGTAATAGGTGTTACAGACAAAGGAGATATCCAAAACATGCAGTGCTGGTGGTCCTCCAGGAACATGGTTGAGAAACACTGGATTATAAGATACAAACAGGTGAACGTTTCACTAATATAACATACTCATACAATTATTTATTTTGAGAAAAGCTGTATAATAATTGGTCTGAATGTACTGGATCCCTTAATCTTTCGTTTAACTCTAAACTGATATACAGTTTGTCAAGACAAGTTCAGGATTTGACAAAATTATGTAATAATTAAGTATAGAAAATTCATCACACGTGTGGACAGTTACAGTTAAGGGGTTAAGTAAAGTAACTGTTTTGTTTTTGAGTATATTGTAAAATTTATTTTATTCTTGTCATTTCTTTTAAGTCTTCGAATCTATATTTCAATCTTTTTATTGGTCTTTTGTATGACAATGCAAATTAAATATTGAGAGGTAAACAGTAATTGTGCATTGTTAATCCCATTCCCTAACCTCTTATTCATTAACTCAATTAACAGAACAACAATAAATAATAAAAAAAATACATAAATAACAAATTAAGTACCTTAAGTAAGTACATGACTGGATACAGATCGAAAAAAATACAAACAAACCCCTTCTAATAAAATGGTAAATGTTACAGGTTGCCAGTACCAGGTGTAATAGGCAGGCCTTTGATGTAGTCAAGAAAGTAATCCCTTATAATATATTATGTGTGGGGGAAAGTGTGTTTCCACTTTAGAAGTATGGCACGTCTGGCTAAAACTGTGGTAAAGGCAACAACCTTTCTGTCATGGACTGTTAAATCAGGTTCAAGGGATACTCCAATAAGGGGTCGCAAAGGATCAGGTTATATATTGATATTAGAGGGCTTTATTGAATGTATTAAAAACGCCTGACCAAAAGGTGGCCAGCTGTGGGCAGGTCAAAACATATGCAAATGGTCAGCAAAATTCTTGTCATTTTTAACAATTGTGCAAAGTGTGATATATTTTTACAGGATACAGTGATAAATAGAAAGTTTAGAAGAACTTCTAAATCTTAAATCCTTTGGAAGAGTGTACATTTCTTAACAGTCATTAAAGATAAATTTACAGGATAAAAAAATCCATTTCTTTACGTAACTTTCTAAATTTCTTAACTTACTAGCCCCAAATGGTTAAAGACATACACTTCCAGTGTATTAACATTTAATCTATATTTATAACAAATAATTCCACATATTCACTATGTACAAACAGTAAAACATACATACATACATACCTATAACTATCATTCTGGCTATTATATCGAACTAAGGCAAAAATATCTAAGTGGTTTGTCAAGGAAAACATTTTGAAAACTACTTACACAAGCAAATTTGGATGTCATTTTTAAAATCATTTTGTTGTATTAAAAAACATCCCCCACAAACACAGCCTAAACACTGTCACACTGAGTGACTCATTCCATCCTTTCCACTCTAGTATGAAGGATACGTGTGAAATGGGAGCGAATCATGGAGGGTTTAAAGGACGGCGAGGCGTCATCTCCCTCCTGAAACACGATGGTCACGATGTCGTTCCCAATGTGTCTCTTCCTCTCTACCTACACAGTCAAAAAAAAAAAAGCAATGATCACACTTTGCTAACAATTTAAAATACACTTTTATTACCTCAAAATATTATGCCAACACTTTTTTGTCTTTAATATTAACAAAAGATGGACAAATTTTTCATTTTGAAAAGAGTACCTGCCTATTGTGTGTATGTGTTTGGCATGTGTGGACATTCATACATTGGTAAATGACCTATGACACTTCAAGCCTGTTAGCCAGGAAGCATAATTGAGCTTGTTAATGAGTCTGGACCATTATGGTAGAAAAGGAGCTTTTATCTTTTATCTCAAGAGCGCACACACATGTGAAACATCCCCTTAAAGCTCAATTACTACATGGCTGCTTTTCACCTGCTGCCTTCCCTCTCATTGGCTCTCCCCCTCACATCCAAACGAACAGATATATCCGCATGACCGTGAGCTGTGACAGGAATGAGTATTTACTTATTGCTCTGACAGATTCATTTCTACTGAGAGCTCAATTATGATTCTCTGCCACTTCCCTTCACCCTCACACCAGAACATGCAGCCAGTGACATACAGCATTCGAAAAACACAAACAGGCTTTCATGACTGACTTCTGCATTTTATTTATTTTATTTACTTTATTGTAGATTATTCCTACTAATTCATTTTTATAATAAACCTGGATATTGTTGGATTTATAATGAAGTACTTTTGTAATTTGTATTGAGTAAAAGCATCTGACTATATATACTATATGAATAGTTCACCACAAAATAGATTTCTGTCTTTATTTATTTACTTTCTTCCAAAACTATGTTGTTGTATGCTTTTTAAATGGGACACAACTGTATATCACCTCCCAACCACCCTCCCATACAACAGGTCATAATTACATGATCATGTTTGTTTTAATGGATTTTTGGATATCTTTAAGTGTCCAAATGTGAAAAACAGAATAACATTTGACTTTTCCTCAGTATGTACTCTAGACAGCTTAGGATATATATCATATATATGTGTGTGTGTGTGTGTGTGTGTGTGTGTGTGTGTGTGTGTGTGTGTGTGTGTGTGTGTGTGTGTGTGTGTGTGTGTGTTGTTAGAAAAATATATCTATTGCTCAGCATAATTGAGTACACCCCATTTTGAAAATGAACATTTTTATCCATTTCTCAGTGAATATAGGCAATGTATTTTTGGTGCATTTAAGCAGAACAGATTTATTTAAAAAATATGTTTATTACAATAATATTTTAGTAACCAAACATATTTAGAAATTAAAAAATAGTACAATTAAATTTAAACAAAATATTGCAAAAAAAAAAAAAAAAAAATCACAACCTACAAAATCTCAACTAATTTTTTCTATTTTTTTGCTTCTCTTGATTTTTCCTCTTTTTTTAAAAATGTGTATTTAACATTTTTCTATAACATATACATTTGGCTGTACTTTTTGGAGCGATATCGTAAGTTAGTTTTTATAGATAAGCTCCAGATTTGGCGTCAGTAGTGACTAATGTTTATTCACAAATATAATATTGCATAGCTTCCTATTAAAAATATGAATTTAAAAGATAGATTTGTGAGAGGCGTACTTTATATGCTGAGCGCTGTATTTCAAATAAATGCTGTTCTTTTGATGTTGGTTTATTAATCTAATATAATAGTTTACATTTGTTACAACTAATATTCTGTTACATGAGAAAAGAATCAAATAAACATTTTATCACAAACTAATTTGGAAAATAAACACTGCTTTGCTTATTGGTGATGCACAAAAGTGTTCATAGGTATTTTTTTTGTTGGCAAAGTTAACCAAAACTGACAATAATTTACCTGAACTATAGTATAATATTCATATATACTATAAATTGTACTGTTGTTTCAGCAGATAGTCAATAATAAATGAAAAGATTCCACTGAAGTCAGTCAATAACAGTGGTTAAAAATGTACTGAAAAATCATACTCAAGTAAAAGTATTACTTGCCCAAAAATGTAGTGTGATTAGAGTAACAGTATCTGTTGTAAATGTTACTCAAAGCATGAGTAAAAAGTAGCCCTTAAAAGTACTCAAGAGTAGTGAGTATTACACTGTGAAAGGTTGATGCATTTACATGTAGTTATGTGTGTGAAATGTAACATTCCGTAGTGCAATTAGGGAATGTTTAAGGTCATTTGACGATTTGAGTCATCTTTTCATCAGTGACATGCCATCTAAACAATCTCTGGGGGATTGCGTGTGAAGATTTTGGACATCTTCATGGGTACTTTCCATACATGTCTTGAAATTGTTTGTTATGATGCAAAATTTGATTGGACTGGAATTGCAGGTTTTTTTCTACTTTAGCCTATCCTTATAGATAAAAAGTAGTGACTGCAAGTTGAAGGAAAATAGTCGCGTAAAAGTACCGATACCGCACTAAAAATGTACTCGAGGGAAAGTAAAAGTCCACAGTTTTTAAACTACTTAGTAAATGACAATTCTTTAAAAAAAAATAGTAATTTGAGTATTTGTAATTTGTTACTTTACACCCCTGGTCCTTAAAGGACACATATTCTACCCCATTTACAAGATGTAAGATAAGCCTTTAATGTCTTCAGAATGTGTCAAAAGTTTCAGCTCAAAATACACATCAGATTTTTTTCTTAAAATATAGAATCTTCCCATGTTGGTGTCTGAGTACAGTGTAGCTGTTTTTGTAGCCTGTGGCTTTAAATGCAATTGAGCTGCTTCTCCCTGCCTTTCGCTTCGATGTGCTTGTCTGCTTCTCATGCGTTACTTCAGATAAACAGCAGTCAGTGATAGAGAGAGACACAGATGAAGCTAAAATAAGGTCACTAGTCAATAATACAAAGTAAGTTTGTTTGATGTATGTGTGTTGGAGTTTATTCAAGCTTTAATGAAATGATGAGTCTCACACAAATGCCGTGTGCAGTACACACACATACATATTATCTTTTAACTGACACCATGCAGTCGTGGTGATTATATTGGTTAAGAATTACATAGCGGTTTTACTCTCTTTATTACAAACATGCCGTTTTAAAAACATTTTAAACTTATAAAATGAATTTCTGAGGTGCAGAAGATCACAGAACATGTTTTAATGTCTTTGTTTAAAAACATTTTGGTCAGTTTTCTTTCAAGAAGAGACTTTTCTCCTTTGTAAACAGTACTTGATTCTTGAGTCATCTGCTTTTTTGTGTTTGGTTTGTCTGCATGCTTTTAGAGCCGACTAGAGACGTGTCTCATCTGAGGTTTACTGCTCTTTTCACGGGTGGATCAGCTTTGGTGAAGTTGGTTATTGACACCGAGAGCTGAAGAGGCTCTCGGCTGTAGAGGGCCGAGACCTTGAACCGACACGAATGCTTTGAAAATCCTGCCATTGTGAAGCTTCCACAAGGACTCTAGTGCAAAGGAGCTCTACTCGTACTCAATCAGACATATGATCCAACAGAGAGAAAAAGTGAGAAATGGACAGACAGAGAGAGAGAGAAAGGACTACTATGTGATGTAATCAGGAGAAGAGAAGGATATGAAGTGAGAGAGACGAGTGATTGACGCCTGATGTAATCAGGATATGGAGCTGAGGGGGGAAGGGGGAAAGTAAAAGAGAGAGAGAGAGACTGACCGCTGTGATGTCCAGCGCTTTTGGATGTTAAATATAGCCTGTTTTCCCCTCACCACCTACTGAGCTACAGACTGGCTCCTTTCTGCCTCAACAAACACACGCAGCTCCCTTTTCTCAGTCTCGCTGTCATTCAGAATTCTCTTTCATTCCTCCTCTCTGTCTGTCCGCTCTCTGTCTTTCTAACATGACAATTCATAACTTTTTATGTGTTCATTAGTGCTAACTGTCTATGAATTCACACAATCTCATGTGATTTTGATTGTAATGTAATAACCAGCACTTTTTTGTGAATGATAATTCTTGTGAAAAGCGCTATACAAATGCACTTTCATTAAAGTTTGTTTTGGTTTATGCAATCTGCATTCATCCCAGTTAATGTAATGTTAAGGGCTGTGGTTAGGGGTGGAGCTTCTCTATATATATCATAGTTTAATTTAAATGAATTGACATCTAATTCAACAGAAGTTTCTCTCATTCCGTTCTTTTCTATTGGTCTTATTGATGGTGTGAATCAATCAGGACCAAAATGTGAAGAGTCCTGATTGTTTTTAGACAATGGTGAATCCTAATTGAACAGTGCTTATAAGGCTCAATCTCAATTCTATCTGGTAGCCCTTCCCCTTACCCCTACCCCTTGTTTTGTGCATTCACTTGAAGGGGTGGGGGTCTTTAGCTTGAAAGGGCTAAGGGGAAGGGCTAGATAGCTCTTGAAACTGAATTTTTTAAGGACCACACTTGAAACCAAGGGGTACAAAAACGGTAGCATGCCTACACACAGAAGTCAGGAGTTGCACAAATTAGTTTTTTTTTGTTATTATTGCGAAGCATATGTTTCAATACATTCATAATTGTGTTTGTATTTTACTGTCATGCTTAAATAAATAAAAAACCCTAAAATAAAAAACTGCTAAATTTTGCTATCTATAATAATAACTCCTTTATAGCAGTCCCATAACATACTTTCACATCCAACACTCGATAACACTGGAATCCCCTGTCAGAAAAGACTAGTGGCTGGGAATGGGCTTTTTATAGTGTCTGGTACAACACTAATGTTCTTTCCGTGTGTTTACATAGATGGATATGGCCAGGGTGTAAATGCACAGTACAGTTATGATCTCATTGCCACATTATATCTTCATGATAACATGATATCGTTGCCTTCAGTGATTTCCTGAAGATAAATACCAAAAAAATAACACGACTGGAATAACTACAGCAGTCCGATTGTCTGATCTCTTATGTGGTAAGAGATCGCGATGACATATGATGATGTGTGCAGGTGTTGTAGTGCTGTCCCATTTCTTAGGGGTAAAATTTGAAGTTCTTCCCCTTCACACTCTGTTTTAAGGGCCAAGGGGGAGGGGAAGGAGGACAAAAATAGAATTGGGATAGGGCCTCTATCTTTTCTAGTTTTAATTTTGTAATTGCCAAACCTGATTCTTTCCAAGAGTATAGCCATAGTAGTTTATTAAGAAATAAACATATTAGGAACTGAAAAATGTGATAAATTTTTATGCAATGGTTGATAATTGATGTATTTTTTATTCATCAGATTACTAACATAATCTAAATTTAAAAATGGGTAAAAAGAATTTGAAAGAAAGAAATATTTATCATTGGATAGATATTTGTCCAGTAGGCAGCACGATGGCGTAGTGGGTAGCATCTTCGCTGTCGCTGGTTCGAGCCTCGGCTGGTTCAGTTGCCGTTTCTGTGTGGAATTTGCATGCTTTCATCGTGTTTGCGTGGGTTTTCTCCGGGTGCTCCAGTTTCCCTCACAAGTCCAAAAACATGTGGTATAGGTGAATTGGTTTGGCTGAATTGTCTGTAGTGTATGAGTGTGTGTATGTTTCCCAGTGATGGGTTGTAGCTGCAAGGGCATTCTCTGCGTAAAACAAATGCTGGATAAGTTGGCTGTTCATGGCAACCCTAAATTAAAAAAGGGACTAAGCCGAAAAAGAATATTAATGACTGAATGAATTTGTCCAATAATTTTTAATTTACTTTACTATTCAAAATTTGGGTGGTCAGATGGTCAAAAAAAAGAATGTATATTATGAATGCTTGTACAGACTGTACTTGTACAATACACACAAATGAATGGTAAAATTATTAAAAGTAGCAGTAAATACATAAAAATAATGCTGTTTTAAATTTTTGTCAATTAAAAAAATGAATGATTTTGGAAAGATCATGCGAAAATGGCTGCTTAAAATTCATACTTGCCCTCACAATATTAAAATATCACTCTCCACATTACTATTAAATTTAGTCAATTTTACTAGCCTCAGATTATCGAATGCCTATATTTATTCATTAATTTTCCTTCGACTTTGTCCTTTATTTATCAGAGGTTGCCACAGAATGAACCACCAACTATTACAGCATATGTTTTATGCAGCAGATGCCCTTCCAGCCACAACCCGGTACTGATAATTAATGCCTATATTCATTCATTCATTCATTTTCCTTCGGCTTAGTCCTTTTATTCATCAGGGATCACCAGAGAGGAATAAAAAGCCACCTTATCCAGCATATGTTTAACCCAGTACTAAAAATAAATGTCTATATTACAAAAAGTTAAATAAAAACAAAGCAAAAAAAAAAAAAAACAACAACTAAAATTTCAACTAAAATGTTTACAACTTACCTGTTGCTTGTTCTCTTTAGAATAAGGTAACATGGTGGAAACGTGGAACATGAGCTCGTGACCCTGATAGACTGTGTAGATAGAATTTATTCCTGTAGTGTCGTCTAAACAAACAGTGAGAGGGAGATAAAGAGAGAGAGAACATGAATGAGCCTATTCAGCTGAAGGAAGAAAACCCCTCTAGTAATATGCAAACACATGTATATTTGTATCCTACTCTTAGTGTCGAGTCCTCCTCGGTACCCTGCCCAGCCCTGTAGACAGATCGTATCACCAAGGAGATTCAGAAATTTCTCAAAGGTCTCACTTCCCATTTCTGAAAATAGTACAAAGCAAAATCAAAATTAATATTAAAGAAAATAAATGAAATAAAATAATAAGATTCTTTCTCTCTCACACACACACACAGACACACACACAGACATAGATATACACCAATGCATGTAATTTTACAAATGTACAGGTTATTCATCTGTGCAGAAAAGAAAGAAATATTTAATTAGTATTCTGAGTACATTGCGAGTGGTGCTGTGCTCACCATTGCTGAACATTTCATCATCTGTCAACTGTCCGTCCTTGGCATAAAGAACACCAAATTTAAAGTTAACGCTTCCCTGTAAAGAACAAGCAAATACATATAATCAGCGTTCAATGAGAATTTACAAAAAAAAAAAAATTCAAATCACAGAGATGGTCATTTCTTCTCACACATTTGAGAGTATATACCTCTTGCTCCTCCAGCACCAGTAAGTCCTGGCAGCAACATAAAAAAACACACCTTTTAGCTCAAAACATCAATTATATCTCAGCACAATAAAACAACCAGTTTCAAATGAGGTTACATTTCTAAACATCAATTAGGAGAACTAATAGTGTGGGCTCCACAAACATTACAGAGAGCGTGTTCATGCATTCAAATATCTGCATGCCACTGACAATGGCCTTTGATTAGCTGCACACGTTTCCACAAAAGCAAAGCTCTCTGGAGCGACAGCAGCTCAGACGGCATCTGCATTTGAATCCTGAAGTGATTATGAAGCAGAACAACAAACCGGTGGAGAAACCGACAGTAATTAACAGAGCAGAGGACATGTGATGTTGATTGACGGGTGTGGGTGGGTGGGCACCTTCTGAATCTCTGGGTTGAGGATTTCCCTCGGGCCCTTCTCAAAACGATCCACATTCATGGCACTGGAGGGGGAAAGTGTTAAGAGGGTCTAAGTGTGCATTCAAATGATTGCATATGCGTTTATTTACTGATGAGAAGGGTGGATAATAGAGTTGCATAATTAGTAGATCTTATTTGTAATGTGTCTGATTCTGAAATGACATTGATTTTGCCATGTGTATTAAACTTTTGACAGTCCATAAAGAAACACTTATGTCTATAATAGCAATCAAAACAAAACAAATAACCTTTTTAATGTGACTTGGCACTTTAAGAAATACATTTTTGCTATGCCAGTAGGTAGGGCTGTCCAGATTACCTCAATTTCGCAATACCGTCAACTGACAAGCCAACTGCAGAAAAAATAAAGGCAACAACAGAAATCGCAGTGTTCGCTTTTCACTGTGCGCTGAATGTAAAGGAAATGAATAATGGATACAAGAGTGTTTTAGGTTTGTTTTGCAAATTGTTTTCAGTGTATTAAGACTGAAGAAATGGGAGCTTTAGTCCAAAAAAATCGAATGTTACGTCATCAGTTTGGCATTATTTCGGCTTTTAACTGATTAAAAAGGGAGAGCCAGCTAATTCAGATCAGCTAATACAAAGTTTGTAACAAAAAAGTCCAAAAAAGAGAGGATCTGTGACAGGGACTCACCCCCATCCTGCTAATAAAAACACATAAATAAAAATATTTTATAACATGCCCTGTAATTTAAAATATGTGCTAACTTGACACCAGAGCTGTATATGGAGCTGCAATCTTTATATACAGTATGCAGAATTGTTGGTGTTGTTTTTTTTAACCATCCAGATTTTGTTTAAGAGAAATTTCCTCACTATGTCAGCCCTTTCGGTAGAAGGCAACAAATAATTGTACATGTAAAACAAATGTTGTTGAATTATTTATTTAAGAGATTTGATCTAGTGAATGTTTTTTTATATTATTAATTACAATTGATTCATTCAGTAATCAAGAAAGTTTAGTCTTAGAGATTTTCTGAATCTTTCATTTAAAAGATTTGTACAAAAGCTGATTCACCCATGAATTAAACCAGTGAAACCTTTATGAGTGAGGCACTGAATCATTCAGTAGATTTGTTAAAAACTGCTGCTTCATTCAGTAGTGAGGGGTTTTACAGCCTTAAAACATCTAGAATAACTGTAGAAAAATAAAGCTGACTACTTTGCAAATTTCGCCTATTGCGGGTAATTTTTAGAACGTAACTACGCGATAAATGATGGACTATTGTATATGAGTCATTGAATCATTCAAGACATAGTTTACCCCCTTGTCACCTTGAAAACTATATAAAAGGAAGATTTATAGGTTGTCAAGAAAAGCTCATGTTCACTAAAATAAAAGTACAGAAAAATGTTCCAATCGACAGTCCCTGTTAAGGAGTAATAATGTGGATTCCTTCAATAATCCAACAAGTATAGACTTTGAGTGATTTATTAAATCTTTTATTCAATAGATATGTTCAAAAAGATGATTCATCCACTAATTAGACAAGTCAATTCTTTGAGTAAGTCAAATTTTCCCCAAGATTTGTACAAAAAATACTGAATCATTCATTAATCAAACAAGTGAAGTCATTGAGTCATCCATTTAAGCAGAAGTTTTAAAAACAGATATGTTATAGATAACAGTATGCATCAGGTAACATTTCATGTGAACCTGTAGCAAGCTGTTATTTAGTCAAGTAGGCTATTCAGAATAGAAGGAGAATTGTAATCTCCGTTTTAAACAAAATCCTGAATTCTCAGTTTATCAAGAATCATGCAGCTCTAGAAAAATAAAGACAGACTTACCTTAATATGGATTTAACTGATAGTGTTTTTGTTGGGCTGTATGGAAGGCTGATTTTCAGAGTACCCTGGGAAAGGACACACTTCATAAATTATATGAATATGAAACCGAATATGACATGACAGGAAGCCATTATTGCTGCAGGCTGCGACACATGGTTTTACAATCTGAGGCTGTGCTGCTTCTAGGAAAGTGACATTTAATAGCGAGTTGTGTCACTGTGCCATTCAGTGTTTTTAGGCATTTAGTCTTTGCATGCTGGCCTTTGAGACAACAGTGTCGAGTCACTTCGCGAGAGGTCAATCTGTGATGTGAGTCACTGAGCGAAGGTGACGTACACACATGCTGTTACCTGTCGCTGCTTGACTCACCGTCTTGCGCCAGAGGATGGCTCGATACTGCGGGACCCTCTGGTTGTTCTGGTCTGACAGAACCACAGACAGAAAGAAAGGGTTTTTCTCTGCATCTGTGCCCACGTAGTTTTGATGAACTACAGAAAGAAGAAACAAACGGGTCACTGCTAATAAGCCTTTACATACTGCAAATCTGCCTTTACAGTGCATGTGGAAAGTATTCATAGCGCTTCACTTTTTTCCATAGTTTTTATGTTATACAGCCTTATTCAAAAACAAATTAAATTCATTTATTACTTCATAATTTACAATTATTTCCCAATAATGACAATGTGAAAGATTTTTTGAAACTGTTGCAATTTTTTTTTTAACTAAAAAGCCTGAAAAATCACATGTACAGCCTTTGCTCAATACTTTGTTGATGCACCTTTGGCAGCAATTATAGTATTTTTGAATATGATGCCACAAGCTTGGCACACCTGTCTTTAGAAATTTTTGCCTATTCCTTTTGCAGAACCTCTCAAGCTCTATCCGATTGGATGGAAAGTGATGGTGTACAGCCATTTTCAGATCTCTCCAGAGATGTTCGGTAGGATTTAGGTCTGGGCTCTGGCTAGGCCACTCAAGGACATCCATTGATATTTAAGCTGTGTGCTTTAGGTCATTGCCCTGCTGGAAGATGAACCGTCGCCTCAGTCTGAGGTCACGAGCACTCTGAAGCAGGTTTTCATGTAGGATGTCTCTGTACATTGCTGCATTCATCTTTCCCTCTATCCTGACTAGTCTCCTCTCGCCACAGAAGAACACTGGAGCTTAGACTGACTGACCATCAAGTTACTGATCACCTTCTCGACTAAAGCCCTTGTCCCCCGATCACTCAGCTTAGATGGCTGGCCAGCTCCAGGAAGAGTCCTGGTGGTTCCAAACATCTTCCACTTACAGATGATGGAGGCCACTGTGCTCATTGAAGCTTTCAGAGCAGCAGAAATTTGTCTGTAACCTTCCCCAACCTTGTGCCTCGAGACAATCCTGTCTTGGAGGTCTACAGACAATTCCTTTGTCTTCATGTTTGGTTTGTGCTTTGACATGCACTGTCAACCCTGGGACCTTATATAGACAGGTGTATGCCTTTTCAAATCATGCTACTCAACTGATTTTACCACAGGTGAACTTCAAGAAGCTGCTGAAACATTTCAAGAATGATTAGTGGAAACAGAATGTACCTGAGCTCAATTTAGAGCTTCAAGCTAAAGGCTATGAATACTTCTGTACATGCGATTTTTCAGGTTTTTTATTTTTTATTAAATTTGCAACAGTTTTGCTAAATCTTTTTCACATTGTCATTATGGGGTATTGTGTGTAGAATTTTGAGGAAATAAATGAATGTATTTCATTATGGAATAAGGCTGTGACATAAGAAAATGTGGAAAAAGTGAAGCTATGAATACTTTCCAGATGCACTGTACTAGCTGCTGTATTAAATGCACACTGCTATTTGTTTCCGAGTGTTATGTATTTCAATGTTAAAATACTTTCCAAGATCTCAGAGCTTGTTCCAAAACAATTAGAGTTTGTTTCTTCTGTTGGATACAAAACAAGATATTTAAGACAATGCTGGTAAATGTTAGCCAGTGACTTGCACAGTATTGTTTCTACTATGTATGCCTTATATGGTTTTCCCGAATATTGTTAAACAAATATAAAATTCTAAATTATAAAGTTGTAGAAACACTTCATGATAAGTAAATGGTTAGCAAATTTCCATTTTGGGGTTGACGTTCTCCTATGTTATATTGCAGATTAAAAACTGTTTTGGTTTTGCTTTTTGTCTTGTTTTTTTTTTTCATTGTGCAGAAAACTGGACCTTGTGTTTGGGTCCTGTTGATTATATTATAGCTAAAGCATATGAAGCATTCTTCAGTGAGCAATAGTGAAATTTGATTTGTTTTAATGGTATTTACAGACTGAACACAAATGATGTTTAATCCTGCCAGTGGAATGTGGGTATAAAGTAGCGCTGGGCGAATAATAATGAATAAATGAAAAGTAAACGATTATAGGTTCTGAATGTCGATTTCAATCAAATTTTCCCTGGTACTTTTTTTCATTTACTTTCCCTACCGTGTGTGGAGTCAATGACTCCACTCTGTTATGGCCGATTTATATTTCTGCATTGAATGCACAGGTATGGCCCTTTGAGAGGTCACATACCTCTTAAAAATGTAACTACATATCGCACTTTTGCACTACAACGATGATGATTAGAAGCTGCGCCAGATATGCCTTGAGGCGGCATATTTTCTATTACAATAAAATTGTTATTTACATAAAAATATTTGTTCACAGAAAATTCAAGTTTAAAATTTTAAAATATTACTTTACTTTTGAAAACAATAAAATTAATAATTATTTTTGTTTCTTAAAGTGCAAGTTATTTATTTTCACTTTTTTACAAGAGAAAAGTGACTGTTGGTTTTAGGCAATGTGTGTTGTTTATTTTTTTTAGAATTATTTTTCATGGTTTTCACCTTTATTTTGGATAGGAAAATAGAGAGAATTGACAGGAAAGCATTGGGAGTAGAGAGAGGGGAAGAGGGGTCGCTGTGAGCACCGGAGTGCATGTGTCAATGCACTAACCACTACACCAGTGCAATATGTGGTTTAATTTCTGTTGTTCAACATTAATGTTCAATAAATAATCATAGATAGTAGATAGTGTGTTTCCTTCAATTATTTTTAAATCAAATAATGCACCCGTTCAAAATGTCTAAATTCTCTCAAATGATATGTGAGCATATTTATAGTACAAAACTTGTCTGTGAACTATAAGGGCAAATAATAATAATAATAATTTTTGTTTTTTA